TCAGCTCTTTCCCCTACTATTCTTAGCTACTGAATAAAATCTGTACTTACTGTGGTAACTACCATCCAGCGGTGTTCATCTATGGCCACCCTCTCCCCACGAGGTTTGGCACTGCTCCACAGAGCGCTTCTGGGAGTTGGGAGGCAGCAGGCAGTCTGGAAAGTTAGCCCCAGGCAATAGGTCAAGAAAAGTCCCTGACTCTTATAATCTGAAAGGCTGTTATGTCAGGTCCCTTCTGGGGTGACTTCCTCTTTCTCAATCTTTCTCACTTGAGGTTGAGGCCACACCAGCCAGACCCAGTCCTGTGGGGTGCTGGGCTCTGGTCGCTTCCTTTCTGGGGTGGCAGCCATTCCTCTGAAAGGAGAAGCCTGAAGGTCCCACAAGTTTTCCCCTGGAAAGATCATTGAGCCCCTCAGGGCCTGGATGCCCACAATGACCCCTGCTCAAAGACCAAGTGTGACCCTTCCTTGGTGAGTCAGGCTCTGACCCCGAAAGTCCATGGAGTCAAAGCCCTCCCCAGGAGACAGCCCCCACCTTAGTGTATGGATCCCCACAGGAGGCTGGATCCCCTATCTTTGTCTGGAACCCCATCCCCAAGTCGGATCTTCACACTCCAATACAGATCTTCCACTCCCTCAACCCAGTCTGGTATCCCAGCCCCTTCTTTTCTGTCCAGAGACTCCCACCCAATGTCGGATCCTTTCACACGGGTTCTAATTTGCCACCCCGCTTCCGTAGCTCCTAGGACAGATTCCCACGTCCCCCACCCCGGATCAGATCCGCCCCAGGTCCGGAGACCCCCACCCTGGATCAGATCCACCGCAGGTCCCGAGACCCGCACCCCGGCTCAGATCCGCAGCAGGTCCCGAGACCCGCACCCCGGATCAGATCCACCCCAGGTCCCGAGACCCGCACCCCGGATCAGATCCGCCGCAGGTCCCGAGACGCGCATCCCAGATCAGATCCGCCGCAGGTCCCGACCCGCACCCCGGATCAGATCCGCCCCAGGTCCCGAGACCCGCACCCCGGATCAGATCCGCCCCAAGTCGGGAAACCCGCACCCCGGATCAGATCCACCGCAGGTCCCGAGACCCGCACCCCTGATCAGATCCTCTCCCGGTCCGGAGACCCCACCCTAGGCCGGATCCCCGCGGCCCGCCGGCGCTCTCACCTCGTCTTCGGCGGCGGCGTCCTTAGTCTGCAGGACCCGCCCCGAGCCGGCGCGCAGGCAGCGCGGCGGACAGCCCCGAGCGCCTAGGAGGCCCCGCGCGGCGATGGCTGCGATGGCGGCTGCGCTGCGGGGAGCCGGCGGGCGCTTCCGGTGGCGGATTGGGGCTGCTGCGGCGGCGGCGGCGGCGGCGGGCGGGGTGAGGGGCGCGGCACGGAGGGCAGCAGGTAGGGCGGGGCGGGGAGGGGGCTCTCTGCGCGGACTGGGCAGGGGGTACCCGCTAGAGGTTGTCCACGTGGGGGTGTCCCCGCGAGCCCCAGTTAGCTGGGACAGCAGTCTGCCGGCTTCCACCCACCCCAACCCCCTTTCCAGCTGGGGAAACAGTGGGGGGACCCAGCCGGAGGTTCTGCTGGGTAAAATGATCTGTGCTCGCTTCCCCACCCCCCAGCCCAATATTAACTATAGTCCTGATGATGGTGGGGGCGGCGCCCCTCCTGAGGTAACCAGAGGCCATCACCCGCAGACCCCACTAGTCAGACCTGGCCGCCTCCTTTCCGGAGACCCTAGTGGCCACACACAGCAGATGCTCAGTCCATGCACTGCATGGAGTCTTCGAGGGGACAGGGCCGCTTGCAAACTGATGGGCAGCAACCACTGGCTGTCTGCAGAGCTTTGCGGGTGCCCTGGGGTAGGGGACAGTACCTGGCTTGTCCTCCTGGAGCCACCAAGGATCACCAATCAAACCAGGATCATTTATCAGAGCACCAGGCTCAGGGGGCGGTGCCAGGCTCCAGAGCAGGGACTGACCGGATGCCGGGTCACCTGCCTAGCCCAGCAGACGGGATCCCCAGTGCCAGTCACAGGGCCACCACTTGCCATGGTGAATTGGCCAACCCCACATGTAGTGATGTGCTCCCCACCACATGCCTGCTTGGTGACTGGACCCCAGACCTTGCCCCTGGATGACTGCCCATGGGGCACGAGTGTTGAGGGGCCTGAGCAAAGAAGGAATGAGGCCGCCTTCACCGAGATGGTGGCTGTGACAGGGAAAGTGGCAGGCGCTTGGCCAGCTGTGGAATGGTGCTGACAGTGGATATGGGAAGGCAAAGCTGTATGCTGCTGTGGCCTTGGGGAGCTTTGGGTCTGTGGAGTCCTAGGAAAAGGGGAGATAGTGTTGCCCTTAGGATGGCTTTGCTGGCCCTTGAGACCTTGGCCAAGGCCCCCAGTCTTTGAAAGCATCCTTGGTGCGTGGGTCAGGATAGCAGCTCTGCGGTAAGGCCCTCACCTTGGATGCAAGTAATAGATGCTGCTGCTGCCCTTCCAAGTCCAAGGCCTTTCAGTCCACGGTAACCGTGACCTTGTGGCAGAGGGGGATGGCCATGGGGTCGAGCTTTTTTGTTGCCAGCTGGCCAGCCCCAGAGATTCTTTACCCATGGTCCTTAGGCAGCAAGGGGAAGGAAGCCCCAAGGCTAGCGCTTACTTAGCTGCAGTGGTGAGGGGCGGACAGGGCCTGGGCACAGTGCCAACCCCCAACAAGCATACACAAGGTCCGTTTCTGAGCCCAGCTTTCCATCTGAGAGTAGGGAGGCACATGCGCCATCCCAGGCTTGGGGGTGTGGCCCATGCCACTCCAGAACAGGAACCAGAATGACACTATCACTGGTGTCATCTGTCCCCTAACACCTGCTACCAGGAAAGAATGCGCGGTGGGGAGGACAGCACAGGAGGACTCCCAAGGTGGCTCCCCGAGGTGGTCAGCATGCCTGTGGACACACAGCAAAGCCTCTGCTGGCGTTCCCAGAGTATTGCACCATTCACTTGGCCTTGCCATGCTTGCAGGGAGCAGAAAAGTCAAGGACGATGGGCTCAGAGCGAAAAGAAGACAGGCCTTTCTGGGACTGAGCCCGGAATGTGCAATGGGGAAGGTGAGGCTGGAAGGCTGCCCCAGGCACTGGAGTGGTATGTCCCCAGATAGCCCCCTCAGAACAGCACCTGCCTCATCCGCCTTCCCTGTCCTTAAGGTAGAGTCCTCGTCCAAGTGTTTATCCGACTGGCAGAGCTCCAGGGTATGGGCAGCAGTTGGGGAGGGCAAACCCATGAAGATAAGCTCGGTGGCTTGCTCTGCCCTCTGCCTGATAGTAGGCAGAGGGGACAGTGTGGAGCTGGGGACAGTTGGAGCTAGCCAGGACCTGCTCTGTCAGCAGGAAGGACCAGCATCAGCACCTGCAATGGAAGGTAGGGGTATTGTCCTGGGCAAAAGCTTCGCTTCCCCCACCTCCCCCAGCCCGGAGCAGCCAGAAGTGAGCGCTCCCTGGGGGAACCTGCAGCTGCTTCTCTCCAATCGGCAGTCTGTCTTCGGTTCTTTGGGCTCATATCAAAGCCACCAGAATAACTGACAAAAATTAAGTCCTCTTCAGACCCCCCTGGGTTGAATCTGGAATTGATTCTCCTTCGGACTGGCTGTTTGAACCAAGCTGTGGCTCCATTTGGTCCCATGTTTGCCTGTGTACACATTTCAGGTGCCCTCAGATGGGGTGGGTACAAAGCCGGGGGTGGGCCTGGTGGCAGCAGGCCACCAGCTGAGCATCGGGACACAGCTCCTTTGGCCAGCTCCCCTAGCTTCGTCAGCTGCAAGCCAGGGCTGCTTCTAGGCTGGAGCTCCTATGTCCTTGCAGGAGCTCAAGTCCTGGACCTGTCTGTGAGTGCAGGGACCTACAAAGCCAAGGTCCCTGGGGAACGCAGGACCTCAGGAATATTCTCTACAGCCTTGCCCACCAGGAAGGTCAAGATGGCCCCAAAGGAAGATACAGTCTTTTCATTCCTGAGGCCCTAGTCCAGTTGCTCTGGCCTTGGGTGGCAGAGCCTGATTTGATCCCAGGACCTGGGTGCTTGGCCCAGGAGCAATGGTCAGCTCTAGACACAATGCAGCAGTTGGCACCATTGTCTCCCTCCCCACATACTGATGATTTTCTATGATTTCTTCCTTTCCCTACCGGGAGTGAACCGGTGCTTGGTGCTGGTTATCTCTGGCCTGGAACCGGTGCTTGGTGCTGGTTATCTCAGGCGTGGGCTCTGACTGACAGGCCACACCTAAGGACACACCTGCTCCTCTCCTACCTGCCCCCCCCCACTCCCTTCCTCACCCCCTCCTCCTTTCTGGCTGTCCCTTGCCTGCCTTCCCTGCCAGCGGTTTGCTGAAGAAAGACAGCAAATGTCTTCTGCAGGGCAGCAAAGATGTGAGCCAGCCTTTGTGCTGGGTGTGGGAGTGCATTGCCTCCGAGGTGACATCGTGGGGACCCCAAAAGGCATTTCAGAGTCCCTTCTATCCCAGGGCTCACAGTGCGCCAGGCACTCTGAGAGGCCAGGGTGTGCTGCCCAATGCAGGGACTGCTTTTCATTTTTCCTCATGTAGAACAAAAGGTGACTGTTGGAACTGAAAGACAGACTCAAGGAAAGTGTTTTAACTCATGTCTGGCTTAGAATATTCAGCAAATTTTGAGTTCAGAGCCATTCTGCCACTTAAATTACCTTCTTCTTGGCCTGATTGTTGCTGCAAAGGTGGTGGTGCTCCCTGGGCCATCCTCACCTGCCGTTGCTTAGTTTCAGGATTCGCGCCGGTGATGGATACCGAGGTTGCCTTCTGCCCGGATGTGGGATGCACTGTCACCCCAGACCGCCATGGGCTGCGGGCTTTGCTCCAATAACACGGATCCCATACCACATTTAACCGGGCAGAGCTGCTTACCCTTTGGAAATCATGCGGCACCTTGTGGGATCTGTGCCCCAGACTTGTCCTGGCCCTTCCTCTCACCTCTCCCCCTTTCCTCAGCAGGCCGGCAGAACTATGATCTCCTGGTGATTGGCGGGGGATCTGGCGGCCTGGCCTGTGCCAAGGAAGGTATGTGTCCTGTGCCCTGCATCTTGCCGGTGTGGCAGGGCCTCCAAGTTTTCAGGACCCCCACCCCCCAAGAGGGCTGCATTGTTCTCGAAGCTGGGTGGAGATGCACCCTGATTGGCTTTGTAGAGGGCATTATCTCTGTAGCTGGGGTCCTACATCCTGCCAGAGTCACCCCAGGAGCCTTGTCAGTCCCTCCTCCCTGCCATTCCACAGTCTGTGCAGTACCCAGTAGGCAGGAGGGTAGCCCAGGTCTTAGCCAGCTCTCCTGGGCTCCAGTCCCGGGCCATGTGGGATCTGTCCCCACCCATCTGACATGTCTCCCACCGCCCACACCTTGCTCCCTTGTGCCGCTCCAGTCCCTCGGCACCTCAATGTTTTGCAGATGCTTCCCGAAGGTCTTTCTGGCCTTGCTCCATGCCCTGGCTGTCTGCCTGGCCTGGTCTTCTTCTCTTTGCCTGCCTGGTTAGCTCCAGGGTTCCACTCACCTTCCTTCAGCCTTTGCTGCTGAGACGGCCCTACTTAGAATGACAGCCTCACCATCTGGTCCCCGTCCCCAGCTCCACTGTCCTCATTCTTGGCCCCCGGCATGTCCCACAGAGATCCCGGTTTGTCCTGCTGTTTGTGTCTTACTCTCTCTCCTCAACTGGGCACTCAGATGGGCCTGGGCACCCTGGGGTGCTCAGTGAAGATGGGTTGAATGAAAGGGCTGGCCCCAGAGGCGTCCAGAGACCGTATGTTGCAGTTTGCCACTAATCTGGGTGGGGAACAGACCAGCATTTCACTGTGGGGCTCTGCACTCTGCTGGAGGAGCGCCTGGCTTTCTGCCTGCTTGTCTAAATGATAAGGAGACAGATGTGGGTAAGGGAGGGGGGAAGCCAGGGGAGAAACAGGGCTGCAACAAGAGGGAGTTGAGCAGGTACCCTGACCATGAAAGGACAGCCTTCTGACATTTCCCTTCTTTCTTTTTCTCCTTCCTTTCTTTTTAAAAGATTTTATTTATTAATTTGACAAACAGATCACAAGTAGGCAGAGAGGCAGGCGGAGGGTGGGGGGGGAAGCAGGCTCCCCGCCGAGCGGAGAGCCCGATGCGGGGCTTGATCCCAGGACCCTGAGATCATGACCTGAGCCGAAGGCAGAGGCTTAACCCACTGAGCCACCCAGGCACCCCATTTATTTATTTTTGTTAAAGATTTTATTTATTTATTTGACACAGAGAGACACAGCGAGAGAGGGAACACAAGCAGAGGGAGTGGGAGAGGGAGAAGCAGGATTTCCTCTGAGTTGGGAGCCCTACGTGGGGCTCGATCCCAGGACCCTACGATCATGACCTGAGCTGAAGGCAATGCTTAACTGAGCCACCCGGGCACCCCAGATCCTGGGTTTTTAGAATCATGGCCAGTCGGCATAAAGGAAATTTGCTGTGCACTACTCTTCTCCAAGGGGCAAAGGAGAGTGCTGGCCTGTGGCAGAGGAGAGGAACCTGGGAAGTCTCCCAGCTGGTATGGGAGCCCACAGAGGGACACGAGTCCTCATCCCACTGGACCACAGAGCCACCGCAAGAAACAGTGTATAGACAGCCAGTTGTCCCAGCGATGTCCCTTACAGCAGAAGAAAGCCCTGGATGTTGTGTCCACACCAGTGTCTTATCTGCAGAGGCCCATCTCCATTCACCTGCCATGGTTCCCAGGCCTGTCTTTGCCCTTTGGAACAGTGGCATTCTCCTTGTGGATTATTGCCCTTTTCTACAGCATTATTGAGCTATAATTGACGTAAAACAAACCAGACATGTTTAAAGCGGACGACTTGCTATACGCTTTGACATCGGCACACACCTGTGGAACCAAGCACCACAGTCACACTGGCAAATGTAAACATCACCCCCATATTCACTTGCTGGGGCAGCTCTGGAGGCTGGAAGTCTGAGATGAAAGTGCCGGCAGGATTGTTTCTTCTGAGCCCTCCATCCTTGACTTGCAGATGGCCATCATTTCCAGGATCCTCACATGATCTTTCATCTGCATGTCTATGCCCCGATCTCTCTTTATGCTCCCTCCGTCAGATTGGAATAGGGCCCGCCTATATGGTCACATTCTAATTTAATCACCTCTATCAAGACCCTGTCTGCAAATAGGGTCACATTCTGAGGTTCTGGGGAAGAATTTGGAGGGGACATAACTCAGCTCCTAACAAACCCCAAAGTTTCCTCAAACCTTGGGAGCCCCTTCCTGCTCCCCAGTCCCTGCTGCATCCCCAGACAGCCAATAATCTGCTTTCTCTCACTGCAGATTAGTTTGCATTTTCTAAAATTTTGCATAAATGAAACTGTGTCATATGTATTCTTCTCTGGCTTTTTTCACGCAGCCTAACTTTTTGAGATTCATCGGTGATGCTGTGTGTGTCCGGGGCTCATTCCCTTCTGTCACTGATCAGCATTCTGTCGTTAAAATACACCATGTTTTGTCTGTTCACGTACACTGGCAGGAGGACGTTTGGGTTGTTGGCACTTTGGGGCTACTGTGAACGGTGCTGCTATGAACATTTGTGGTTGTGTGTTTGTGTGGATGGGTGTTTTCAGTTCTCTTGGATAAATGCCTAAAAGTAGAGCTGCTAGGTTGTGTAGTATATTTCTTCTTTAGGTATTTTTTTCATTTATTTCCACAACCTTTTGTAGTTTTCAACTTAAAGCTTTTGTCAGATTTGTCCCTAAGTGTTTCATATGTTTCCAAATAGCTTTTTTTTTTTAAAAAAAAGATTTTATTTATTTATTGGACAGAGAGACACAGTGAGAGAGGGAGCACAAGCAGGGGGAGTGGGAGAGGGAGAAGCAGGCTCCCTGCCGAGCAGGGAGCCCAATGCGGTGCTCGATCCTGGGATCCTGGAATCATGACCTGAGCCGAAGGCAGACGCCTAGCAACTGAGCCACCCAGGTGCCCCTCTAATAGCGTTTTTTGAGATTAAGTCACATACCATACTATCCATTCATGTAACGTGCATAATTCAGTCATTTTTAGTATATTCACAGAGTAAAACCATCATATCAGTTGTAGAAATTCTTATCACTCCCCAAAACTACTCTGTACCCCGTAGCAGCCACTCCTCAGCCCCTCTACCCCTCAGCCCCAGGCAACTACTAATCTGATTTATTTTTCTATGGATTTGCCTATTCTGGACATTTCATACAAATATGTGGTCTTAGCGTGCTGTTTTTAGTGTTCGTCCACAACAGAGTGTATGCTGGCACTTTTTTTTTTTTAATGGCTATGTATCATTCCATTGCATGGACATATCACATTTTATTATCCACTTGGCCATTGATGGACATTTGGTTGTTTTTACTTTTGGAAATTTTATATTCCCACCAGCACTGTCGGAGGATTCGAATTGGCCCCTATCTCACGCTCCCCCACTGGAGCCAGCCAGGTGCCCCAGCTTTGCCCATTTTGAAATTGGGTTATTTGCATTTTCATGACTGCTCCATGAGCTCATATACATATGTTCCATATTCTTACATAAACATAGTCTGGATACTAGACCCTTCTCAGACATGTGATTTGCAAATACTTTCTTCCATTCCTTCGATTATCTTTTTACTTCCTTGATGGTGTTCTTTGCAGCACAAGTGTTTTTGATTTTGATGAAAGTCCAGTTTATCTATTGTCTTTTTGCCATGTTTTTGGTATCTGAGAAGCAGTTGTCTAATACAAACTCACAAAGATGTATGTCTGTGTCTCCTCCTAAGACTTTTCCAGTTTCAGCCCTGACACTTGGGCCTCTAGTCCATCTCGGGTTCACGTAACAAATACGGTGCTAGGTAGTTGCCTGGGGGGTTTGCTGAAGACATCTTGAACTCTTCACGGTCTACCTGCAAGTGATATGGTCCAATGCACATATAGTACGAGAACCTTGCGATGGTAGCGTGTTTGCACATCTCCCTTCCCAGCCTTTATCCCATGTGGCCATACATTTTACTTTGACATTTTATGAGGTCCGTAACCTATTGTTACATTTTGTCTAAACAGTTACCTTCCAGCAAGATTAAACTAATGAGAAGTCACTATTTCTGGTGCCCTTTCCTTTGTATAGATCTGAGTTGCTGTCTCGCATGATTTTTCTTCTACCCTGAGGATGTCCATGAACATTTCTTGTATGATGGCTCTAAGAATAATGGGTTCTTTCAGCTTTTGTATGTCTGAGGACATCTTTATCTTGCCTTTATTTATTTATTTTTAAAGATTTTATTGATTTATTTGACAGACAAAGATCACAAGTAAGTAGAGGCAGGCAGAGAGGGGGGTGGGGAAGCAGGCTCCCCGCTGAGCAGAGAGCCCCATGCGGGGCTCGATCCCAAGCTTCCAAGATCATGACCTGAGCTGAAGGCAGAGGCTTTAACCCACTGAGCCATCCAGGTGCCCCTGCCTTTAGTTTTTAAAGGTATTTTCTTGGTGAGGCAGGTGTGTGGGCAGCGCCTGGATGGCTCAGTCGGTTAAGCATCCGACTCTTGATTTCAGCTCAGGTCATGATCTCAGGGTCGTGATCTCAGGGCACTTCGTGGGGCTGTGCACTGAGTATGGCCTCTGCTTGGGATTCTCTCTCTCCCTCTGTCCCTCCCCCTGCTCAAGCATGGTCTCTCTCTCTCTCAAATAAATAAATAAAATCTTTAAAAAATACATATTTTCTCTAGGTGGAGAATTCAAGGTAGACAGTTTTTCTTGGTTTCTTTTAGTACTTTAGAGATGTTGCTGTCCTGGCTTCCTGGCTTCTCACTACATTGTTTCTGGTGTCATCTGCTGCCCTTTTTATCTCTGTTCCTTTGTCATGTGTCTCTTTGTCTCAGGTGGTTTCCAGGATTTTCTCTTTTCATTGGCTTTGAGTGATTTTTAAAAAATACTTTATGTATTTATTTGACAGAGAGAGAGATCACAAGTAGGCAGAGAGAGGGGGGGGAAGCAGGCTCCCCGCTGAGCAGAGAGCCCGATGCCGTGCTTGAACCCAGGACCCTGGGATCATGACCCTAGCTGAAGGCAGAGGCTTAACCCACTGAGCCACCCAGGCGCCGGTTTTGAGTGATTTAAAGAGGGTGCAACCTTGGTGTAATTCTTAATTATTTTTCTGCTAGAGTTGACTGAGTTTTCTGGGTCTGTGGATTGATTGTTCTCATCAAGTTGTGAGAATTTTCAACCATTATTTCTTAAGGGAATTTTCCTGTCCTTCCTCTTCTCCTTCGCGTTTGGAGACTTCAATCACACATATGTAGGCTACTCAAAGTTTCCCCTCAGCTCTTGGACATTCTCTTCATTTTGAAGAGTTTCTATTCCCATGTTTCCAAATTCACTAAGAAAAGATTCTGTGAGGTCTCATCTACCATTAATCCTATGTGATATGTTTTTTCATCTCTTGTATTGTAATTTCATCTCTACAGATTTGACTTGGGTCCTTTCTTGTATCTTCCATGGTGCTCCTGAACTTTTCGAGCATGTGGGATACAGTGACAATCCTTGTTTTACTTTTTTTCTGCTAAATCTGTGTCAGTTGTTGGCCAGTTTCTGTTGACTGATTATTTCTCTCTTGGGTCTTATCTTTTCCCACTCCTCTGCATGCCTGGTCATTTTTTATTGAATTTTAGATACTTTGGACTTTCTCTTCCTGGCTTCTGGATATTTTTAGATTCCTAGATACATTTTCGAGCATGTTCTGGGATGCAGGGAAGAGAGTTTGATTCTTTTACATCTTCCACTTAAGATATGTTCAGTGGGGGGGCGCCTGGGTGGCTCAGTGGGTTAAGCCTCTGCCTTCGGCTCAGGTCATGATCTCGGGGTCCTGGGATCGAATCCCGCATCAGGCTCTCTGCTCGGCAGGGAGTTGGCTTCCCTTCCTCTTTGCCTGCCTCTCTGCCTACTTGTGATCTCTCTGTCAAAAAAATAAATAAAATCTTAAAAAAAAAAAAAAAGGTATGTTCAGTGGGTCTGGAGCTGGACCCAGTCATTCTCAGTGACTAGGGTCTGACCTTAGTACTTACCCCGCTCTCAAGGAATTATGTGTTTTCTCCAGTCTGGCTTCTGGGAACAGGCACTACTTCCTGCCCTGTGTGAGTACTTTATCCTCTAGTCTTTCTGAATGGTTCTTTCCGGGCCATCGTAGTTCCCTCACGCATATGTACCGATCAGCTATCTGGGGTTCTGGACAGCTCTCTCTTCTCTGGTCCTCCGTGCCTGGAGCTCTGGCTGCCTCAGTCTCCCCAGTCTCCCAGCCCTCTCCTCAGCCAGGGAGTCTAGTGGACTCTGCCTGGGCCTCCTCCCGATGTTGCATCACCGTATTTGTTTCCCGTCTTGCAAGAATCACTCTCCTTGGTCTTCTGATGTTCGGTCTCTTGAAAGCATTATTTTATGTATTTCTTCTGGATCTTTGGTTGTCTCAGATGCAAGGATAAATCTAGTCCCTGTTGCTCCATTGTGGTCAGCTGTGGAAGACAGACCTTGGCATGTGTGAAGAGTCCCCTTGGCTGGATTTTTTCTTTGAGATTTTATTTATTTATCTGATGGAGAGGTAGAGAACACAAGTACGCAGAGTGGCAGGCAGAGGGAGAGGGAGAAGCAGGCTTCCCGCCGAGCAGGGAGCCAGATGGAGGGCTCGATCCCAGGACCCTGGGATCATGACCTGAGCCGAAGGCAGATGCCTAACCGACTGAGCCACCCAGCTACCCCCTTGGCTGGAGTTTTTAAAGCAATCACTGCAATCCCATTATTGGCCAGTCAAGTGAAATGGGTTTTTATGTGAAGGCTTCTAAAACTTTGTTCTGCTCTTGGTCGATGACCATGGATCAAGAGCGTTCTGTAGTTTGTCCAACATCCATGGGTCATGAAGTTTAAGTCAGGCATGCCCGCGGGGGCGGTCAAGTCCAGAGCCCAGGTTCACAGTACACCTCCCCAGGCAAGCCAAGGGGAAGCCCCGCGATTAACCCAGGATAAATGGTGACAGGGTTAGCACCTGGGACTCGGGGCCCTGGGAGGAACCTGGTGGCAGCCAGTGGGGGAGACCAGGAGACTCCAGGCAGGAGGTGCAGTTTGGAACCCAGATCTCCCTCCCCCTTTGGAAGTTGGCTGACTCTGTACGTGACATTTGACTTCGGAACTTTCGATTCCTCACCCTGAGAATGAGGCAGCAAATGCCCACAAGAGTAGATCTTGAGTAGGAGCCCCACCGATGTCCGGTGGGGACCAGAGGAGGTGAGCGAGTCCACTGGGAGGGCTTGGGGAGAGAGCCAGGGGAAACTCTGAGTCTGGGGCCTCTCTCGGGGCGTGGGTACCCTGTGATGCCTGCTAGTGTGCGCCAGGTGGGCACTGGGCTCCTGCAGAATGTCTGGGCTGGAGCCGGCTGTGGCAGGAGGCAAGGGAGGGCTGGGCCCAGGGCTGCGGCAGTGGGCTTATGAAGGAGGGAGGGCGTCCCACTAGGTCCTGGCACTGTGGTGGGTGGGATGAAGGCTGCAGTCAAGAAGAGCCCCACGGGGTCCCACCGTGGGCAGCACAGCCATGTGGCAGCACACAGGTGGGGAGACCGGGCGCAGAGCTGGTGGGAGTTTCCTTCCTTGCCTTCGTCTGGTCCTCAGCCCCAGCCCCAAAACAGCTTCCCACCCTCCCGCTTCTCTTGTCATTCCAGCTGCTCAGCTGGGAAAGAAGGTGGCCGTGGTAGACTACGTGGAGCCTTCCCCCCGAGGTAGGTAGCCCCAGAAGGGAGCCGTCTGTCCTGGGGGAGCAGGAGGATGGGGTCCTGGTTCACCTATGGGGGCAGCAGCTGAACCCGGAACGCTTCACCACCATTGCCCGGGATCTCTGGCCAGTGTCCTCCTTGGCAAGTCAGCTGCCCTTACTTTAAAGTCTTCTGATTTAAAGACCACTCTGACTACAGTCATGGAGACTAAATTCCCAGGGCAGGGTTCACCCGGAGCGCGCTTGAGTTACAATAGCTGAAAGGACTCTTACCCGGGTGGAGAGGAACAGGAGAGCCTTCCGTACCCCGAAAGTGAATCTAAGCAGGGTCTTCCCCACCTGCCAGGTACCAGGTGGGGCCTCGGTGGCACGTGCGTGAATGTTGGCTGCATCCCTAAGAAGCTGATGCACCAGGCGGCGCTGCTAGGGGGCATGGTCCGAGATGCCCCCCACTACGGCTGGGCCCTCCAGCCGGTCCCGCATGACTGGTGAGGAGCCCTGCCCACTCCCCTCACTTCTGTGCTCCTGGGGTGGGGGAGGAGGGGGGAGAGGAGGTTTGCTGCCCCCTTAACCCTCACAGGAGTCAGCTACCAGACAGGAACACTCACCCAGGGGCGACCCCCTTCCCCACATTTCGAAAAGTTTGGAGATACTTTGGCTATCACTGCTGATCGGGGGCTGCTGTGTCTCCTGGGATGCTGGTAAAGGTCCGGTGGCACATAGGACACCCTCACAAAGGACGGTCCAGGCCCAGGGGCCACTAGTGCGCAGCGAGAAACTGATGGAGCTTCTGCAGGTGGCACTGGGTCTGCTCCAAGCTGCACACAGGCCCCTCAGTGTGCTCAGATGACTGAGACTCAGGGCCACTGATGTGTCCTGATGGAGGGGCCCAAACGAGGCCCAAAGCCCCCGTTTTCCTTGAGGCCCAAGGCCCACAGCCCCAGACCCAGGACAGAGACAGTGGCTGTGGGCATAGATGTCACGTTTTTCCACCTTTATTTTTATTTTTTTGTTTGAAGATTTTATTTATTAGAGAGAAAGCATGAGAGGGGAAAGGTCAGAGGGAGAAGCAGACTCCCCGATGAGCAGGGAGCCTGATGCGGGACTCGATCCCAGGACTCCAGGATCATAACCTGGGCCGAAGGCAGTCGCTTCTCCAGTATCCAGCTGAGCCACCCAGGTGCCCAACGTTTCTCCACCTTTAGAATCAGCTTGTTTCTCGGGATTTCTGCTAACTCGCTGTTTGCATCTCCTCATGTGTTGTGGGACTCAGCAGTTCGTGCTCCTGTGGCGGTTTCTGACCTGTCCTGTGTGTTCCTAGGACGACAATGGCCGAGGCCGTGCAGAACCATGTCAAGTCCCTGAACTGGGGGCACCGGGTCCAGCTGCAGGATAGGTACTGAGGCCTTGGCCAGCCCTCCCACCCTCTCTGGGGACCTTTCCTCCCTTTGTGGGCACTCTCTCACCAGAGGCCCGGCAGTGACAAGACAAGAAGTCCCTGCCTGTGGGGTGGGATGTATGCATACAGGGTGGATGGGGCCAGGGCCCTGGGAATGAAAGGCTGGCCTATAAGCTGGCACCAGCAGAGCCTGGAGTAGTGAGGGGGGTGAGGGGCGTGTTGGCGGGACAGCCGGAGCCTGGATCTACACCAGGGAGGAGGCATGCTTGGGGCTGGCGCTGCGGAGTCCAGAGGCTGGAGAGTGGGGGCGCGGAGAGGGCCATCCTGGTGGCCGATGCCTCCCTTGAGGCGGGTGGCCTTTCTTCTGGCAGGATCAACCACAGTGATGTGGAAAGAGCCCAGTGAGCCCCACGTTGCTGTTGCAAAGAGGATACCCAGCCAGCACACTCTGAACCCCACACCTCACCACGTCCAATGTGATCATTCTGGCCTGAAATGGCTGGGTCCCATCAACCCTCTGGGCTCCCCCAGCCCCGATGCCAATGGTTCCTTCCACCAAAGCGCCCTCCCCAAGGAGCTGCTGCACTCAGCTCTGGCCAGGCTTGGCTCCCAGCCCTATAGCTCTGCCCTTTGCTTGTACAGGTCATGGAGGGGACAGTGTGACCTCTGAGGTCTGGTGGCTTTCATCTGAGCACTATGTGCTGGGCTCCAAGGACCTCCAAGATTCCAAGGAGTCTTCCTGAGGCTATGCAGTAGGCAGCCATTTTGTGCCCATGAAGCCCAGGACAGCTGAGCGGGGGAAGTGGCCCACCTGCCCATCCCGGCCATCCCCCGCCACCTCAGGGAGCTAAGCTGCATCCTATCACTTTTCCTCTGTGTGGGGCTCAGTATTCCCCAGGGCAGTTTGTTGGAAGCACAGGGTTCTGCCATGCTTCCTGCTGGCCCCAGGCAGCTCCCAGGCAAGTGCCAGGCAGGCCCAAGCCCACTTTCTGAGGTGCCCACAGAAGGAAGCCAGTGTGGAATTTACATCTGTGTCCTCTGGCTGTTACTGGGCCATGGGGGTGAGTGAGGGCTTGGTTCTTACAGCCCAGGCGGCAAACGGAGTCACAGGGCACGACTGTGGGGAGGACGTACAGTCGAGGTGGTGAAGCCTTACCAAAGGCGCCAAGAACCCACCATACGGAATGGCCTTCATTATTAGGAGGTGTGGATCATTTCTGCACACCATGTACCTGACTAGCATTCTGTCCTCATCATGCCTGTTTTCCAGCCTTACTATCCCCTAAAGGCAGGGGGTGATGCCTATCTGGTGGGCACCATCCCTTGTCTGCCGGAAGTTGGTCATTTGGGTGGCGGGGGTCACTGGGAGGGAGGGCCTCTGCTCCCTGCTAGAATGTGTCCAGGTGACAAGACTGGACTCCGGGGAGGCCCAGCCACGTCTCTCATCACACGCCGGGCCTGTACTTGGGCTCTTGGGGCCATCCCGAGCTGGCTTCTGTCCTGGCAGTTCCAAGGATCCATGGCCCTCTTCCCCCCCGCACACTTCCCAGTGCTGTTCTCCACTCAACCCTTGCCTGGCCTGGGCCGGGGATAGGGGGCTGTGGGCCCCGAGCTCGCCTTTTAGCCATCTGCTCCCTCTCTGGTCCCATCGGTGATGCCTAATTTGCAGAGGAAATATTTAACAGTCTTTTTTTTTTTTTTTTTTTTTTTGCAGAAAAGTCATGTACTTTAACATTAAGGCCAGCTTTGTCGACGCGCACACGGTTTGCGGTGTCTCTAAAGGCGGGAAAGAGGTGAGGGCCCCTCTCTCCCGAGTGGCTCCGCTCGGGTGGTGCTGACCCTTCCAAGCACTCCAGCACTGTTCGACCTCAGTGCTGTCCTCAGTAATGAGCACTGTGGGAATTGACCACAGATCCCTCTGAGGCTGGTTATGATGCTTTATGGACGGTGAGACGCGTCACCAAGAGTCACACAGTGCCCAGCTGCCCGCTGCGCCAGGGTGATCAGACCCTCGTGGAGTTTTGCAGGGGTTGGAGGCAATAAGATACCTGCAGGGTGCCATGTAGGCTGCAGGGTGCTTGGAGTTAGAATGTCTCTCTGCCCCCTCCTGCTGGGCTCCCTCCTGGCTCGAGGACGCTGGACAGGCTCCCAGCTCCGAGGGACCCCTGAGCTGCTGGCCCCAGGGTGCATACTGCAAGGCAGGGGCTGTCATTAGAAAGCATGCATCTTTGCCAGCAGCTTCTGCAGACCTGCCTGACCACAGCTTCCTCCGTTTATTCTCAGACTCTGCTTTCGGCTGAGCATATCGTCATTGCTACCGGAGGGCGGCCGAGGTACCCGACCCACGTGAGTGTCCCCAGCACACAGCCTTCCCTCGCACCCTGGGCACGTTCACGGTCTCCCGGCTCATGCTTCCCACACCAGTGGCACCCCCCTCTCTTTCTTTTCTTAAAAAAAAATAATAATAATAAATTTTTTTCTATATTCACTCTGGTCACCTTCTCATGCTCTCTCAACTCCGTTCTATGGACGCAGGCCGGCAGGGACCCCCACAGCCCCCCACTCTTCACATGGCTCTGGGACACCCCTGCTTCTAGTCTCCTTTGTCTCTCTTTGCTGATTCTTCCTTTTCTCCTCAGCGTCAGGGTGTTGGAACATCCAGGACTCAAGCCTCTCCTTCCTGCCCCCACTCCACATCATGACATAAGATTCTCCTACCATAAAATGCACCCTTTGAAAGGGTACGATTCAGGGGCTTTTGGTTAATTCACAGAGTTGTGCAACCGTCAGTCGCCACTACCTCATTCCAGAACATTTTCATGCCCCTGATGAAATCCTGTCCCGTGAGTGGTCACTGATGTTCGTGGCTCCCCAGCCCCTGGCAACCACTAGTCTGGTTTCCGTCTCTGTGTGGATTTGCCCATTCTGGGCACTTCACATAAATGAAATCAGACAACATGTGGCCTTTGTGCCTGGCTTTCTGCACTCAGCAGAAGGTTCATCCACGTGGTAGCCTGGGTCAGATCTTCATTCCTTTCTATGCCTGAATAACGAGCCATTGTGTGGCTGGACCATAATTTTGTTTGTCCACTTGTCCGTTGATGGACATCCAAGTTGTTAGCACTTTGAGCTGTTGTGAATAACGCTGCTGTGAACAAGTTTTTCCGTGGACTGAAGTTTGCACTTCTCTTGGCTCTAGACCTAGGAACAGAATTGATGGGTCATACGGTAACATAGTTTTTAACCTTTTGAAGAGCCGGCCATCTGTTTTCCAAAGTGGCTGCACCATTTCTCGTACCCCCTTTCCCCCCAATAACGTGTGAAGGTCATGCTTTCCTGGTTCTTTGCATTTCACAATTTTGTTGTTGTTTTCGAGCAATGAGTAGTTCAAATAAAGTAACACATGAATTCTGGAAATCTGAATCTTTCTCCACTATAGGGTTTTGTTTATTGCTATTGTATGTCTGAAGCGATTTTTTAAAGTCTGTTCTTTGTCAAGGGATGCCACCGAGGTCTCTGCTCGTTGGCTTAGTGCTCAGTGAGTAACTAGATAGAGATTTCCTGAAACGCCAGGAGAAATGGCCCAGTCTTTGCTGAGGGATTCTGTAGGCATTTGAGGGCAAGCTTTGGGCCATCAGCCAGGCGCCAGAAACTCTGCCTTAGCTCTCACTTCCTGCCTGTGCGAGGCCCTGAGGCCAGCCAAAAGTGAGAGCTCAGGTTGTCTCAGGCCTTTCCCAGGTGTGTGTGTAGCCCAGGGCCTACACCCAGCCTTCTAGGTCCCCAGGAGTGTGCAGGAGCTTTTCAAAGCCCCCGTGGACAGCTCACTCCTTGGTTTTTCCTTTTAAGCTCTGGGATGGTGCGTTGCTTGTTTCTGCTGTCATCCATTGTCTTGGGCAGCTGTGACATCTGTCACGGGACAGATCCTGCTCGGAGAGAGGCTTCTGGCCATGGGCAAGGTCACGTGAGGTTGAAGACCAGCCTTTTGGGTTGGGGTCTCCTGGGGAAGCCCAGCCAGGTCGACCGATGACTGTTTCCTGGGAAGGAGCTCTGTCAGGGCTCCAGCCCGGCTCTGCTCGGCTCTCCCTAATATGTTTTTTAAGTTGCTCACCCTTGCTCAAGGTTGCTGCTGTGCTGAGGGATGGGTCTACAGTCTGTCACAACAGCACAAAACTCACCGTTCTTACCAAGTTTCAGCCATTTTTCTTAACTAAATATACCCTGTGTTGCCGCAGCCTTTTGGTTCATTTCTGGAGTGCTCCACAAGTTGAATCTGACTGTTGTTGCTAGTTGTCTGGCTGTTTTTATGGAAGGGTGAACACTGGGAGGTCCTTGCACCACTGTTTTTTGCCCTCGTCCCCCTTACCAGCCCTGTCTTCTGTGAGGGCGCTGCTTTGCCCTCACTCCCACAAGGCAGGTGGAGCTAAGGAAGGGGCTATATGGTCAAGGTCATGGAGAGGGGGATGGGAAGCAGGAAGGGGCTTGGCCAAGGCCATATATCCTTGTGGGTCTCCCAGGGGCCCTGGGAAGCAGACAGCACAAGCCCTGAGCCTCCACACGGGCTGCAGCGAAGTGCACGAGGCACACAGACTCCCTGGGCCTAGAGGCCACTTCTGCCTCCAGATGGCGGAAGAACAAGGCACTGGTTCCATTTCTCCTCAGATGCCCAAATCCCAAGCCTCCCCTTTTGGTTCTGTGCTTTCTCTGGAAACGGGGAACAGAGGGGTCGTGGTGGAAAAGGCACACTCTGGTCCCCAGAGGAACACCATGCCTGCCCCCAGCTGTCGGGCCCGCAAGAGCGGCCTCCGGAGGGGACGGGTGGCTTGTGCACAGAGGTGGCCCTTGGCTGGCTTACATGGCTCTGTCGGGTGGTGGAGTGCTATTGTTCAAGGTAGCTGCTAACAGACAGAGGTGGGCAGCCATTAACGACCCCTCACCCTTCAGCCAGGCCTACCTTGGTTCCGCATAATGGCCCCAAAGGCCACAGTCTGCTCCTAGGAGCTGGGCGGTCATCTGGGCCCCAGCCAGCTGGACCTTGCCCAGCCGGCCGCCGCATCTCCCCAAACCAGCAGGGGAGAGAGCAGGAGCTGTCTGGCCCCGGGGGAGGAAGCTCAGTGGCTGCTCCGCTCTCCCACCGCCTACCCCACCACCTCCTCCCTGGGTGCCTGCCAAGGCTTGCTTGGGTTTTAGTCCCTTTGATTTCTAGACCTTTTGGTTTTCTTTCCACAAACCCGAGAAATTCCTGACTTTATTTTTATTGCCAATCGGAATCATAAACTGTTTGCATTCTGCTTCCTCTCCACCAGCACATCTTACTGTTCTTACTCTCATGGGCCACGGAGAGGACTCTGGTCCTTGGATCTCCCCCACCTGCTCAGTGGCCCCTCCTCAGGCTCTGCTGAGAATCGGGAGTCCATGCGATTCCTGGGCTCCTTCGAGGGTGCCCAGGAGCATCAGTGCCCTTGGGGCCAGCCTGCCCCTCCACACCCTGTGTCACTCTGTTTCCCTGCTGCCCTCCCTGAGCCCAGCGTCTGGATCAAGGGCAAGGCCCTGGAGAGCAGGGAGGAAAAAGCTGCGGGCCCCACACCAGCTCCCAGCCACCTCGAACAGCCAAGGAGTGCTGGGTGCTTTGCCCAGAAAGTTCATGGTGCTCCTAGTCAGATAAACCCAGGTAACCGGTCCTTAGAGGCCACAACCTGACGGACAGTGTGTAGAGCAGGGAAGCACCCCCAGGGGTGGGTTGGGGTGGTTCTGCTTGAGTTGTGTCTATGAAATGGTCATTTTCTTTGAGGGTAAAGTCTCTGGGGACAGGCTGAGTGATGCTCTTCTTATGCTGACCATTTTTTTTTTTTTCCTGGATAGATCGAAGGTGCCCTGGAATATGGAATTACAAGTGATGACCTCTTCTGGCTGAAGGAATCCCCTGGAAAAACGTAAGACCCCATGTGTGCCTTAATGGCGCTCCTTTTTTTTTTTTAAATTTTTAAAAAGATTTTATTTATTTACTTGACAGAGAGAGACACAGAAAGAGAGGTAACACAAGCAGGGGGAGTGGGAGAGGGAGAAGCAGGCTTCCCGCTGAGCAGGGAGCCCAGTGGAGGGCTCGATCACAGGACCCTGGGCAGATGCTTAACGGCTGAGCCACCCAGGTGTCCCTGATGATCCTCTTTTGTTCACGGTTTCCAAGCATCAGAGCCATTCAGAACCACACATTGGTCCTCTCTCCCTAGTACATTCTTTCCTGTCTGCAGACAGGGAGGATGGTGTTTGTGCCCCTTTGTGGGGCTGTTGCCTGTCTTGGAAGTGATGACCCGTGTATTACCAAATGGACCAGCCACTATCTCGGGCAGTGGTTTTCAAACAGGGTTCCCGGAGCCCTGGGCTTCCAGTGGGTCCGTCAGAGACTTCACAGAAAAAGGATGTTCCAGGAGGAGAAAGTAAAGCCAGGTCCTCTAGGAAATCCGTTGGCCTTTCTGCAGGACTTGATTAAACATCCCCTTTCCCCTGGCTTGAAACTTGGGCTTCTCTGAAAAGCAGCAAAGTCTCCAAAGTTCTCAGAAACTATAGCCCAGGAAATGAGACGTGCAGTGTGTGAGCAGTTTTATACTCCGTGAGTAGGTATTAATGCACTAAATGCATTTCCTGTCCCCACAGAGCAGGCCATGGCGGGGTGGGGATTCCAGGTCCACAAAGGCCCTGGGAGTGGCGGCTGGGGGACTCCATGCTCTCAGGGACTGGAATGGCCACCAGAGGGCAGCAGAGGCTTTGTCGTCAGCAGGCTCTCCGCTGCCTTGGGACTTGGCTTTGACAAAATAAATACAGGTGGAAAAGTGTGCCAGGGAGGATGGCTGTGTGGGCACAAGTGTACGTGTAGGGCAGTGTGTGTGAATGGGCATGCGTGTGCTCTCCTCCTCGATGTTTCCCACTTCCTGAGGCATCTCTGGCTGGGGTCAGGGCTTGATTCCCTTGAGTGGATGTGCTGTAGTTTATCTTCCCACCACTCACGAGTGTCTCACTAGGCTCTTTTTATCGGCGTTATGAAATGCTGCAGTGAACACCTTTGGTGTGCATCTTATCTGCTGGCATAATGCTTCTTATGTGTTCTACATACCTGTCGGTGGGGGGGTGTCCTGTAAGCAGAGAACCCAGGTACAGGGCTTCCCACGTCCTGCTAGCAGGTGCTCCCTCCTGGTGGGCTGTCCCCCATTTCCAGGCACACCTCTGCCTGCTCTCCTCTTCCCCCTAATGGGGCTGGGCCATCAGCTTTTTCATGAGCGGGGAAACAGTAAGGAGCCTCTCCTCCTGCTCTAGGGGCAGGGGTAAACAGCAATTGTTTCTGCCCAAGGCATGCGTGGTCCCTCCAATGAGGTGGTCAAGTTCACGCTGGCTTGGATCCCTCTGTCTCATTCCACTGGCTCCCCAGGCTGTGCTTTCTCTTTTTACTTGGTGATACTATTTCATACAGAAGTTCGTAATTTTCATGCTATAACACTGATAACTTTTTTCCTTGATGCTGAACTGTCTGGGTTATCTGTTCTTTTATCTTTAGCTCGCTAAGGGGTTAAATGTGACCTTGAGTCTATTTACCCTTGCTATTTTTAGTCGTCGTTTCCTGTATTTACTAGCCGTTTAAAACTGAGTGTGTCTTTGAGTATATGAGTGTGTGTGTGAGAGAGAGAAAGTGTGTGTGTGTGTGTGTGTGTGTGTTGTCAGCTTGGTCCGTGGCCTACTTTCTATCTAGTTTTTCTTTTTTCTTATCTGTTCCTTATCTTCCAGCTGTTTCGCGGGCTCGGGCTGTGATCTCAGGCCGTTTTGACCACACATTTTCTTGGCTTGTCATGTCATTTCACTTGCGTGGTGTACAAATGGTTTATTTATTTATTTATTTATTTATTTTTCCTAACCTACCTTAGATCTTTCTTTACGCTTAATGGCTTTTAGATTTATTGCGTGTTCAGGAAGGCCTGCTCCACCCCCAAGATAGCTTTTGAAAAAGAGCCCCTGTGTTTTCCTTTAGGGCTTCCATAGGTCGGATTTTCCTCTACATTCTTGGGGTGTTGGCAGTTCATGTTTGGTGTGGCATGGTGTGGCATGGTGGTGTGGTGTGGTATGGTGTGGCATGACATGTGTGGTATGGGGTGGCATGGCGGGGTGGCACCCGGGCTGCCAGGGTTCCGGTGTCACTGACCAATAGCTCCACAAGCCAGTGTGAAAGCTCCGTCCCTGAGTGGAGTCCAGTCCCACTCTGGCTTCTGACTCTGACTTTCCTGTACCACTGGCCCAAGTGCCTGGCAATGGCCTCAGATCTTCTCAGTTTTCTTTTGCACTGATTCCTGTGGGTGGAGTGTAGACCCGTTCTGCCAGCCTCTCCATAGTGGTCCTCCGGCTGTGGTTCAGACAGCGACAGCTGCCACCGGAGCGTGTGTCCTGTCTGAGGCCCCCATGCACTTCAGTCACCTTGGCCTGTAACCAAAGGCCAACATTTGCTGAATCCCGGTCTTCTGTCAAATTAGTTCCTATATCTTCTGTTGTTTCCTTTGTTTGCTATTTTCCCGTCTCCGTGTCCAGGAAGGGGTCAGTTTGCAGTGATCGCCTCTCGAGCCACTGCTCACAGGAGGCTGGGTGTGCAGAGAGGCTGGCCAGGGCCATCACTTGGGCTGGGGAGGTTGGGAGGCCCAGGCGCACCGGGTGCCACTGGTGCTCAGCACGGTGTCCCAGGGCCCAGTCCCTTCCTCCGTAACCTTACAGCCAGGGCAGCCAGGCGGGGAAGACACCACCCCAGATCTTTCGGCCGGGAGAGCAAGCACTGTGTTTATTTTCTTCAGAAAAAAAACATTTAGAAGATTTTTTTTTTTTTAAGAAAAAAAAAGCTGTTTCGTTTAGAAGGAATCTAGGTATGTTATTGTTGAAGAAAAAAAAGTGTTTGCAATGTATCAGTCACCCGTTTCGTTCTGAGCATGATTTATGTGAGGAAATGGTTTTTTTAAAAAATTAAGCTGGAGATATATCCCTGTACGATGCTTCTGTGAAAATGCGGCTTTTGTCCGGTGCCGTTAATGCAAGTTGTAACAGTGTGATATGGGAGGCACTGTTTACATGCTGCATTCCTCTCCTGCAGTCAAAATAAGCCCGGAGGGTCTACAGTAGCATTTCTGTATTTTATCAGCTTGGGCTGGGGCTGAGGGGGAGGCCTCCACTCACACTTGGAGGGGCTGTTTCTGCCAGATTTATTTGCCTTATAAATATTCCCTGTGTTTATTTTAACTCGCCTTTAAAATGGAGCTGAAATTAATATGGACCTGAGGGCTGGCCCCCCCGGCCCTGTCGTGCCTCCTGTAGCGGGTGGGGCATCTCCGCTGGGTCCCGTCGGGAGGCGCGGCTGGTGGTAGAAGGCACCCAGCGAGTGTGGTCCCCACCAGCCAGCTCCCCACGACCCCATCAGAGGTTCCCAAGGGGCATGGCTGGCTCCGCGTCTCTTGTGAGCTCTGCAGCACGCACATGGGCTTTCCTCCCTCCATCCCTTCCCATGATGGGGCATGGGCAGCATCGAGACCTTTTGGGGTGCATTCAAGTGGGGCACAGGAGCCAGTAGCCCTCTGTGGGGCCCATAGCCCTTCAGCCTCCTGTGGTTGTTCCACATCTTTGTCCCCTCGAGGCACAGACCCCAGTGGCCACAGAGGTGTTGAGCCTCCCAGACATGTGAGGAGCCCCTCCCCACTGTCTTGCTTTGCTTGAATCCAGGCCTGGGGAGCCCAGGGCTAGAGAGATGGCAGAGAGGGGATGATGAAGCCCAAGCCCGGCTGTTGAGAAGAATGAAACAGTCTTCACGACACGGCTGGGTGCCCAGCTTGGCGCCCCGAGGTGACAGATCATGTATGGAAACCTTCACTGTATGCAGCATGAACTCCCAAGTCTGTGAGCAGGGCTCTCAGAGGCCAGGCTGGGGCTGGGGGGAGCCCTGGTGCCCCAGACCCTTGGATCCACACCCTCGGCCCGAGATGGGACCACAAGATTGGCATCTACTCAGCCTCAGCCACCCGAATGCCAGCTTTGTGGCTGGCACAGGTTGAAGAAGTAAGGAAGATTCTGGGGGAAGAACAGGGTCCCCTGGGCAGGTAGCAGGAGCCCCTTCAGAAGTAAAGATCAGGGGAATAATGATCACTTCCAGAAATTATCAACCACCAGGGGAGGAAGTGGGGGTGCAAAGGGAGTGCGCTGCCCCTCATGGGGAGGCTTAGAGACGGTATCTGTGTGTCCCAGATGTCCAGCCCAGCGACTCCCCAGCAGGTGGAGGGAGTGGAAGGGAGGAAGGTAGGCCAGCTCCCCACAATGCCTTCAAGGAGGCAGGCCAGAGGATTTCGGCTCCACCTTTGATCCAATGGCCTGGTGATCTTGGCTCACTCAGCTGGAGGACCACCTCTTCCACGCCTTCTGGGCCTGGGCATCCTGGCTGGGACCTGGGCCTGGCCTCCCAACCTTCCCCCGGCCAGGATCCTCAAGTCTCCACCGCCTATAACTGTTTAGGTGCCCTAAGGGTGGGGAACCAGGGTCACTCTGCTCCATGCCCCCTCGGCTCCCCAGCCCAGCTGGTCAGCACGCCCGCCTGGGGTTCACTCCAGGTCTGCAGGCTAGCTCTCTGCATAGCTGGGCTCTGAGCTGGCAGCTTGGGGGTAACCCCAGTGCCATCACCTTTCTCTGACTGCAGAGGACTTGAATGAGACCGAAGCTACCTGGGGCAGCTCTTCCCCCACGTTGGCCTGATAAACTCACTACTCTTCCCAGTTGCCGGCCCAGGAGTGTCCTGCCTTCCACAGCTGCTCTGTCCTTACGGCCCAGAGCTCTGTGCAGCAGGGTGTTTCTTTAACTCAGGCTGATTTTATACTGCCTGTCAGACCTGGTCCTAGAAAGAGCATTTTTTTTTTTTTGGACCCTTATTTCAAGTCTGGAAGCTGATTAGGTATTATGATCATTCTTCTCTTTCCCTGAGCACAAAAGGGAAGGATAGAAATTTTATCCTGCAAAGAACCACAGACGTTGGGTTAGAAAAACTCCTTGCTGTAAATTTTCTCATTTCCCGCTTAATACCCATGTTCGTTTGGTGTGACTCCTTGTGTCCAGCAAAAGGGAGACGGGCTCTCTGCCTGCAACTTGGCTACCAGCCCGTAAAGATCTCTCGCTGGTGTGTGGAGGGCTGCCGGGAGGAAGACAACAAGGAAAACAACAACTCGGGGTGGCATTGTTATGAGGCCAGAACAGAGAGGCTCTGGCTGGGCGCAGGTGGGCCCAGTGTCGGACCCTGATAGGTGGGATGGGGCTGGCAGATCCCAGGCAAGCCTGGAGCTAGCCCCCACTGGGGAGGAGGCCTTGCCCTGCGCCCGTGGCCTTCCCGGGGCACCTGCGCTCGGTAGCCCGCCTGGCATTTCCTGCACTGGTGGGGCTGCCAAGGAGCCAGGTGCCTGCTGTGAGGCCCTCACTTTGTGTGGGTGTTCCCCTTTGGGGAGCGGATCAGGGGCCTTCAGACTCGAGAGGCAGGTGGAGGGCTCTTTAAGCTGGGGCTTCAAGGGTCTGAATTAAAGCTTTTGTTTCTGCTTCCTCCCACATTCAGATTTTGAACAAGAAAGGCTGCCCTGTGATTAGGCTAATCCCACGGTTGTTACAGCTTCGCATGAAATGTTTGCACACCGAAGGGCACAGACAGCAGGGTTGCCCAGAACACATGTACGATCGCATCAGGGGCTCCCGGGATGGAGGGTGGTGACTGCCCACATGGGCCAGTGCCCTTATGTCCGGGTCTCTTAATGTAGTGACAAGGTGAGGGTTTACATCCTGCGGAGGCTCACTTGGGCCCTTCCACCCCGGACCTGACAAGCGGGTCCTGACTTCTGCTGCTGCCAGCACCCATGTCCTGTGGCGGGCCACAGCCAGCACTGGTCCCTGCACCTTGGCAGCTGGCCTCGGCGCCGTTGTTCCCAGGCTCCCTTCCTGGCTAGGAGTCCCCTCAGCCGCCAGAGGAATTTCTGTGCAGTTTCAAGGCTACAAAAACAAAACAAAACAAAACAAAACAAAAAAAACCCAGAGCCCCTCTTCTGGCCCTCCCTACCTCTTGTGATCTAGAGACTCCAGAGTCTGTCTGTCTTTGCTCTGGCGTTTTCCTACTTCAGTTCATTTGAAGGGAGTTTTCTGAGTTCTTGGAGCCTGTGTTCTACAAAGAATAATGACCATTTGACAAATTGGGGGTAGGGTGGAGTGAAAACCAGTATTGTTGATAATCCTTGCTCACAAAGACAATAAGAGACTTCAAATTACCTTCCAGAAGGCAGGACGCGTGTTTGTTTATGAGATTTGAGCTCTACACATGCCGTCAAGGCACCCACTTTGGAGTGGCTGAGCTGGCTGGCACCAGCCTCCTCCCAGATGTGCCCTCTGTTGGCAGCTCAGAGCTGGTGGCCTGAGAAGGGTGGGTCCCCATGACTGGGAGGTAAGAGTGGGAGGCCCAGAATGCTGAGGTGGCTCCAGGATAGGGGGACCTGGGGGTCCCGCATTTGCATGGCCGCCTGCCTACCTCCCTGTCCGGCTTCCCAACCACACAGGGCAAGAAGTGGCGAGGGACCAGGGGGCAGCAGAAACAAAGCAGTCATGCCAAAATCCGGAGACTGCCCTCCCGCATCCTTAGCAATGTGACACAAGGGTCTGGAGATGTCCTGCAGGCAATAGCTGACAGCTGGCTAGCTCCTGCTGGAGGGCCCACGTCCCAGAGGCCAGAAGTCTCCAAGACAGGCCAGGACAGCCCTGTTGTCCAACAGAGGGGCTCCCACATCACACGATAGTGTGATGTGGCTGTGGCATTCACATCTTAGAGGAAAGCTTGTGCTTCTCACCGCATACATCGAGCACAAAAGAAGTTAGATTGTGTCATTTTGAAAACGTCCCTCCACAGAGACCTACCTGTTACACACCTGTCTGTGTTGCCACATCCACGTGTGGATCCGCATGAACGCCACCGTGTCTGTTTCTTAGACATTGCCAGGCCCGTATGGGACCCTGAATGCGTCTCCGTGCTCCTGCCAGCCGCGGGGCCTAGTGTTCTTCTCAACTTTCTCATGCGGTGAGCTCTGTTCACTAGCCCCGAGCGTGACTCCAGCCCAGTTCTGTCCCCGGCCCCCGAGAGGAAGCCGTGTGCCAGTTGCCTCCCGCGGGGCACCTGCGGCAGTATTCCACGGGATAGACTGCTTTTTGAAATGGAATTATATCATTAGTACCTGCCGGGATTAGTGCTGACGTTGGGCTTATCCGTCCTTACATCACCTCCTCTTGTTCAAAGGCTAAAGGGGTGATCTGACAAGCCCACCCACATGTTGCCACCCGGGCCGGGAATTTTCAGTCTATGTTAGGCTGTGCGCATGTGTGTGTGTGTTTGTGCTGGTGTGCATGTGTGTTCACGTATGCAGAGTGGAGCTGAATCACAAGAGAGGGCTTCTGCTGCTAGGGTAGATATTTTAAATGACTCTTCTGGGTCCCAGTGTCCTATGTCTCCCGCTGCCCCCAGGTGTCCTCATCTTTGCTCCAAGGAACTGGCCCTCCTGGCCCTGGCCCGTGTGAGGTGGGGCTGGACAGCCTGGCCTTCCAGGGTCCGAGGATGTTCTGAATAGCCACTGCTTTCCCAGAATCCTCCCTGCTGTCTGGTGCCCTCCCCGTCCTGCAGAGCATATCTGTCACCAAAGATCCGGAGGGAACCCCATGGCAAGAGTTTACACGAGGACAGAAGGAAAACCATTCCTCTTGTTCCACTGGCCTTTTCCTCCACACACCCGTGGACTCCACATCAGCCGCACTCCTGGGATCTCTCGCAGGACATGGGCTCTTCTCTCACTGACCTCTCACATCCTTCACCACCTGGCAATTTTCTGATTCAGTGACACTGTGTTTGTCATTTATCTCACAGTCAGAGCCTCTGGGAAGTGGGTTTTGTACCTTGGGACAACCTGTTTGAACAGTGAGCCTTGGCTGATTCATCAACAGTGACACATCAGCTGACCAGGCACCTTGCAGGGAAGCTCAAGGGCCCTGTCCCCCTGGCAGAGGCCCCATTCAGGACAGCTGCACGGGGGCCATGGTGAGCCACGTATGGTACTCACCATTCTTTCCCTCTGTGTCCTTTCCTCTAACAGGTTGGTGGTCGGGGCCAGCTGTATCCTTTGCCGGCATACAGGTGACAGCCGGCTGTGCTCACAGGCCTGAGAGGGGACGCCCGGTTCCTGCAGCCCCTCCCCCATGGCCCTCCCTTCCAGCAGGGAGGACCGTCTGCCGCCTGGAGTCAGGCGTTTCCAGGGCCACTCAGGGCAGATGACCTGTACCCAGGGGACAATTTGAGGCTGACCTTTGAGGCTAGGGCTTCCTGGAGGCATTTCCTGAGCCGCACACTGAGATGCCTGAGCCCTTCAGGGCAGCTGGACACAGCCGTGAGGCAGGTGGTGCTCCCTGGAGAGCAGTCCCATCCGGGCCTGTTCCTTCAGAAGGAGCGGTAACACCAGAGAGGCTCAAGGGAGGAGCCATGGGAGGATCTGAGGTCAGGAGAGGGGATAACTGAGGGAAGGGGAAAGCTGGGACTGCTAGCTGGGAGCCGGGTTCGAAGGTAGCTCTTCCATTTCTTTCATGAAGGACACTCTTCCCTTCTGTTGCTACTCGGACCCCTTGGGGGTCCTGGCACCAAAGGCTGACATTAAATTGCAAGGAGCCTGGACAGAGGCCCCATGGAGGCAGAAGCCACCTGGCCCTGGGTGCTGGAGGGTGCCCCTGTGCCGTGGCTCTCAGAGTCCCCTCCTCACTTTGGACATGTGTTTCTGAGGTCGGGGTGTGGGAGGGGGTCTTTGTGGCTTGTGTTGGAAGCCTCTTCCAGGCTGACTGGAGATTGTGGGGGAGCGGGTGGCTGGCCAGAGCACTGGGGGTGTCTGGCCACAGCTGCTGCTTTCCCAGAATCCTTCCTGCTGCCTGGTGCCCTCCCAGTCCCTTGGCTCCTGATGTCACGATCCATTAGCCTTCCTTAGCCTCTGGCAGACGTGGCCCTGGAGTGTGCTGGCTTCCTCACCGGTCTCGGATTGGACACCACCGTCATGATAAGAAGCATCCCCCTCCGGGGCTTTGACCAGGTATGGCCGCGGGTGCCCCAGCTCCCACCCTGCGCTCTCTCCCAGGTGGGTGCAGGTGTGGTCTGGGAGTGAGGTCTCAGTCTTTCAAAACTGGCCCTTGTGTTGAGTGAGGAGATTGTTCCTGAAACAGAAAACACCTGCCAGAGTGTGGAAGGAGGGGCTGGCCCATGGAATGTGTGGCAACATCCCCCCAGATCGAAGGGACATTGGTGGGCATGGCAGGCCAGCCTCATGGACCACAAGGTTGGGTCAACCCTTCTAGTCACTCCATTAGAAAGCAGAAAGAATGTGGTGGCTAGTCTGCTGTCCCCCGTCTCCCCTGCTGAGCTCCTCCGGTGTCTGAGCAGGGTGCCACCTCTGTGGGGACAGCACCGGGTCGGGAAGCAGGTGCCAGACTGGTAAGGCCATGGGAGCCTTAGGAGGTGACAGAAAAGAGGGAATATATGAGTAAGGACAAGCACTTGGTGGCTGTCCTGGCCGGCGGCCCACCCTGAGTGCTCAGAGTGTCCCACACAGCCTCTGAGGCCCCGCCAGTTCCACATCCTGTCCACTGCATGGGGCCAGCTCCTCTCATGGCCTGCCTGTCAGTTGGCCACTCCTGACAGCCACATGGCAGGAGCTCAGAGGGCCACCCCGTGGGGTCCGAAGAGTACAGGTTGTCCTGACCCGCATTAGGGCCATAGATGCCCCTGATGATGGCAGAGGCATCCATGTCAGGGGCATGTGGTTTGCTGTTTGTTTGTTTGTTTGTTTAACTAAAATTCTTCAAGGAAAAGTCACCTGTTAAAACCCAAGTCTAGGGCTGTCACTGTCAAGAGGTCAAAATTTCCTTTCACGTGCCTGAGAAGGAAGACAGACCCCTGTCCGTCTGTGCTGTCTGGCCTCGTGAGCTCTTGCAGGGGTGGGGAAGCAGTGGGCCTGCCGTGTCCAGTGCCCAGCCCCAGCCCACCCGGTGGATGCTGTATATGCTGTGTGGGGCCATACTTGCTTGCTTTCTTGCTTTCTTTCTAAGATTTTATGTCAGACAGAAAGAGAAAGAGCAAATGAGTAGGGAGAATGTATGGCAGAGGGAGAAGGAGGCTCTCCCCTGAGTGAGGAGCCTGATGCGAGATTTGATCTCAAGACTTTGGGATCATGACCTGAGCTAAAGGCAGACCCTTAACCGACTGAGCTAGCCAGGCCAGGCAGCAACATCTGGGAAGGTCTCGGTGCCTCAGGCCATGGGTGTAGATCGCCAGTCGCAAACCAGACCGGAGCCACATGAGGCCATGCTGTAGGACACTGAGAAGGACAAGGCCTGTGAAGCAGGGGGGCCTGTAGGGACAGGGACCACTCAGAAGACTGGCCTTCCAGCCCAGGAAGAAGTTGGAGACCGACGAGAGGGGATGCCCTGGGACATGGGGGCACAGTGGGGAGGCCAGGTGACCCAGGCCCTGCCTCAGAAGGATGTGCAGCCCTGGTGGCAGGCACATGGTCTGGCCACGTGGCTCAGTTGGGCCCAGTAATTCCCCCACAGACTGCGACAGAGACTCCAGGCTCATCAGGAGTCCAGAGGGAGGAGCCACCTACACTTGTGTTCCCATGACTCATGTGACAGTCCTGAACAGGCAGGGCTCCTCATGGTGTATGTCTCTATATGAGCGGGTACCAGAGGATTTAAACAGTGGCTTTTATTTCCTCTTCAAAGAGGAAGCTGTGTCTGACTGGGGCTCTGGCCAGCGCAAGCCCTGCCACCCCCTGCAGCGGCCCCAGGAGCTGAGCCCCCATCTGCAGCCAGGGGGTACAGAGCCTCCGAGGCTGGGAGGAGGGAGCCCTCTTTGCAGATGCCAGGGTCCACCTCCACCCACCCCCACCATGCCTGCTACCTTGTATATCTTGGTGGGGAGCAGAGGGGCCCACCTACTGTCCCAACTCCCCAGAGGCAGAGGAGGTGACAGCATTTGGCAGTGGTGGCAGGAATGGAGCCAAGTGTCATCTCATTCAGCCAGGCCAGAGCCCCCAGGGGCAAAGGGTGCTTCTCTGTCACTGTTTTCAGTGAAGACTTAGTTAATCGGCATGTAGAGAAGACCCTGAAGGTCAAGTACATCCTAACCCAAGGGCCCCAGGTTCTCGGATTTGGAGCTGGCATCAGGTGCTTTCCCAGCTCAGCCCTCAGTTCCACAGAGAACAAGGGGACCCAGAAGTGGGGGTGGACAGAGGCCACCTAGCAGCCGGGGGGCCTTGGACCTTCCCCTTTGAATGGACCTTTCTTGGGCTCCTCTAGGGATTTTTTCAAGCAGGCAGGAGACCATGTCCTTTCCTCCCACAGTCATTAGGAGTGGACGTTCTCACTGCCACCCAGGCCATCACAGCTCATCTCTTATGCTTTGCAGCAAATGTCTTCCTTGGTCACAGAGTACATGGCATCTCAAGGCACCCGGTTCCTGAGAGGCTGTACCCCCTCCAGAGTACGGAGGCTCCCAGATGGCCAGCTCCAGGTTACCTGGGAGGACCTCAGCTCTGGCAAGGAGAACATGGACACCTTCAACACCGTTCTGTGGGCCATAGGTAAGGGCGCGCCGAGCCACAGGTGACCAGCAGCATCGCCTCCCCCTTCCTGCTGTCTCCAGGGCTCCCCCCGTCCTGCTGGCTTTTGGGTGGGCCAGCTGTCACAGCACACCTCTTCGGCCATCGGAACAGCCCGTGGAGGTGTTTCCCTCACCTCCAGTGGGTTGGTTTGAGCTCTGCAGGAGTAAATGCCTCACTGGCTTTTGTGGAAACCACACTTCGCAGATCTCCCAAGATGGCGTCAGTGATGGGGCCGAGGCCTTGGGCCTTCCTCTGCTGCACATGGCTTGGAAGCCAGCTCACCCACACGTGGTTGTGTTCTCATCCTCCCATTCTCTGAGAGGGGTGGGTCTAGCTTTCTGTGGGGAGAGGGGGGCGAAAGTTGAGCAAGCATGGCTGGACAGAATTAGCCTATTGCTGACATTGCCGGACATACTCCCTCCCGGGCTGGCTCCTCCCTGCACCACAAGGGAGCAGGATGGAGAATGGGAATGGAGTAGGGAGACACCTGCCCAGGGCCTGGGCCTCAGCTGGTCTGAGGGAAGGGACATGGGCTCTGAGGAAAGGCGCCCTGTCCAGGAGCCAGGAGGGAAAAGCAGAGAGCTCAGAGTGTCCATCATGAGCCTGCCTGCAGCTGTGAGTGGGGTCTGGCCCTGTGCGCTATTTCCAGTTCTCCAGGGTCTCTCTGCACTGAGCCTGGTCCATTGTCCCTCCTCCATGAGCCCGGGCTCGGAACTGTGTAGCTGTCAGAATCCTCAGGCACCCCCACATCGGTTTATCAAATGTTTACTGAGTGCTCAGAGGGGCCTTCATGTCATCGTCTGTCAGGACCTGGTTGGCCTGGTCCCGGCATCCCCTGCGGGGAGGCTCCCGGGAGGAGCCGGGCTGCGTCATAGAGCAGTATGCTTCTGAGAAGCTTCTCTGGTTTTCCTGAGTCCTCAGAATGCTTGGAAATCAGACCATGAGATAAACTCTGAGGAAGTTGGAGCCCTTCACTTGTGTGTGGTCAACACAGGCAGATATAAGAAGCAAGGAAAACTCCTTGCAGTTCATTTAGTGCCTCTTGCCCAAAACTTAGTAACGGCCACAGGAAATACTCTTGTTTAGTTCATAAGAGTAAATTGAAGTAGGTTTATTTTGGTAAACACCGTGAAAGATTCTATAACTTTTCAGGTCCAGAAGTGTAAGTTGACATTTATCTTGAAGTCCATTCTAAAAGGTGCAGTGGCAAGTCTCTCCCTTCCCGTCTGCACCCCCAGCCTCTTCCTTTGTCCCCTGATAACGCCTCGGGGACCCCAAACACCCACATCCCTTCTCTCTCTCGCCATTGGACAGAGGCAAAGGCCTATGCCAATATGCCGTCCGCTAAGCCTACGCTAAGGGCAACAGCTCAGAGGGCAAGGGACTGTGCCCTGGGGAAGCCTCGAGGTCCTCCCAGCTTCCAGACAGGTCCCTGGTGGGCGACACAAGGGGCCCCCGGTGCACATGCCTGCCCTCCCCTCTGCAGGAGTCAGTTTTATTTTCTGTATTTTCAAAAAGAGCATCCCCCAGACAGTCTGCCCAACGTGATTGATGCTGGGGGTGGAAGCTTTTCACAGTCCTTGGCCTTTGACCTTGCTTCCCGAGGCGGCGCTGTGGTGGCGGCGGCGGTTTCTGGCACGCCTCCTGGGGCTGTACGGGCATGTGCTGACTTTGCTGCTAGCTCCCGGGCCAGGTTTTGTAAACAATCGGGAGCCACTTCCCAGTTTAACAACTGGGAATGTTTTCTGCCGGTTTACCCTGATAAGCCTTTAGCCAAGCATCGTTTCTGCTTGCAATGAAGGACGATCAGTGGGCCAGGAGGTTAAAATAAAGCTCCCCTGGGGGCCAAAGGGCTGGCCCAGCAAATAGCTCTGGGACCGTGGGTCCTGCTCCAGTAGCGAGTGCTGCGTGCACACCAGCGGGACTTTGACGTGTGTGAAAAACAGGAGGGAAGGATGGCCCTCGTGTCTGGAGGACACACAGCAAGGGCCACGAGGAGCTTCAGTGGGGCCGAGCTTGTGCTTGGCACCTGGGTCACGGCTGGTGAGAACAGTCTGCGCAGGGATGGCGAGGAGGGCCCTGCAGTCTGCAAGCCCGGGAGGACTCCTGAGCCTCTTCCTCGGCCCAGCCTTGATCTCCACGTGGTGGATTAAACACATTAGCAGTTAAAGCAGTTAATTGCTGTGCAGGGGGCCGGCTCATTGTTTGTCTCTGAATCACCCACCCACACCAGGTGTCTCAGATAATAGACTGGGAACTCGCAGCGAGGAGGATTTCCTGTCTGCAGATGTGCCGATTACGGTGCTGAGTGAAGACAGTCAGCCTGCGCCCGCCGCAGGCTCGAATTCACCCTGTGCAGTTAACCAGTTGTGGCCTGAATCCTCAGCCATTGGGGGTGGCCGTGGGTGGGGGGAGCAGGGGCAGGATGGGGCAGTACAGGGACACCGACGGGACACTTGCGCATGGAATCGCTTCCCAGCTGGAGCTCGGCTGAGGTTCAGCTTCGACTTTGTTTCCGAGGCTTGACGGAGGGCCTGGACAGAGGGCTGTTGGAGCAAAGTCCTGGGAAAGCCGGCCGCTCAAACTCTCCTGTGCCCCCCCAGCATCTCTAGCCTCCTGGAAGGTTTCCTGGCCCCCTCTCGCGGCAAGGGTGGACGCTCTTGGTGCTTCCCTCCCTGGGCCACGAGAGTCCTGCCCATGGTCAGAACGCCCAGACGGCTGGTGTCCCCACCACCCGGAGTGCCAGGAAGGGCCGGCCTGACCATGCCTCAGCAGCCTCCCTTGGTCTATTAGGAATCAGCCACTTCCTCTTCCTCGGACTTTGACTTAGCAGGGAAATTGGTATCGCCCACCTGGGTGTGAAACCCACAGATAACTTCCAAGCCTCTAAAATGGCATAACGAGAGCCCACAGGCGCTGGAGGCCAGGCTTTCTAGTTTCTTGGTTTTGTTTTTGTTTTTGTTTTTTTTTAAATCTTATTTATGTATTTGGGAGAGAGAGCATGGGGGTGGTGATGGTAGAAAGAGCAGAGGGAGAAGGACAAGCAGACTCTGTGCTGAGCACAGAGCCCAACAGGGGGCTTGATCCCACGACCCTGAGATCATGACCTGAGCTGAAGACCTGGTTGGTCCACTGACTAAGCCACCTAGGTGCCCCTCTACTCCGGCTCTCCAGCTTTAATCCAACCACCATATTGGGGACCCCCCTCCCTGTAGAGCCCACTTACACAAAGAGTACCCATGGACCACAGCCGGGGAGGTGGTGGCACCTGTGGAGACAGCGATGGGGCCTGCAGTACCCGAGGAGTAGAGTGCGACTGCCCAGGGTGGGCTGCAGACTTGGGCTCCCCTCTCTACCACGGGGACTGCTGGCTTTGGTTTCCAGGGGACCGCCTTGCTCAGCTACATTCAGCTGATGGCTCCTCCATCCCACAGACACCCCCTTCGAGTCCTTGTGGACCGTCTCCCCACCCCCCCACCCCTGAGTGCTGGGCAGCAGCGCTACGAGCTGGAGGCAAAACAGAAGTGAGCCCCCGAGGCTGGGAATTCATGGGTGTGTGTGTGGGGGGGGGTTTCTCTTGAGTCCAGCAAGAAGGATGAAGCAGTCCAGGCCCCTGTGTCCCCTGATAGCCATGAGAGGAGCCCAGGCTGGCGTGGGGCTGCTGGAGAGGGACTAGCAGGTGGAGCGTGGGTGCAACCTTGTTGAGAGAAGCCCAGTCCAAGGCCCCTGGGCCTGTTCTTTGGGGCCGTGTCATGCTGTGGCTGTAGGAAACTACACGCGGTTATGTTCCTTCCGGGGGGGGACCTCGGAGCAACCTAACGGGTTGTGACAGGTTCCCACACGTGGACTCCCGGGTCACCTAAGGCCCACCTTTCTCAGCTCCCCAGGCCTGAAAGGGGAGCACTGCTCCGCTTGTGAGCCTCTCATATTCTAACACCTTTTTATTTCAGTTTAAACATCAAGTTTGTAACTAGCCATGTGAAGAGAGACTTCAATCTCTGTGTGTATGTGGTGTGTTTTCTTGGAGGGAAAGGAGATGTTCAGGGAGTTCTTCCTGTCGGTCCCTCCCACAGACCAAGGGAAGCGGCTGGGCCTGAGACCATGGCCTTCTGCTGGCACACCATGTGGCCCTGGGTGATGGACCCCAGCTCATGAGCCAACACCGTCGACTCTGGCTGTCATTCATCTCTGCTGTGGCTCACTGTGGCACCAACCCATTGCAGAGGCAGGGCAGCGGGAAAACAGCCTCTGTGCTCGCAGACTGGCCCTTTGCCCTCTGGGAAGCCCTGCACCGGTGCAGGCCGGGAGCTGTCTCCTGCCCGTGTCCAGGGTCACCTTGACCCCCACAGCCATCAGACCCAGGCCAGCCTACCTTCGCACTTATGGTCTTTTTACCAAAGCAGATTCAATATTTATGATTAGAACTTAGTGGAAGCAAGTTGTTTTTTAAAAAAAGTAGGAAGTCTTACTGAAAATGGTTATAAAGATAAATAGGCATCTTTTTTGTTTTGTTTTTGCATTAATGTGCACTATCTAAATTTTGCAAGTGCTACTGGGAGCCATCAACCAGCAGGAAGGTTATATTGATATTTGTAATTGTTACAGCAATAATTACCACCTACCAGGGAATGTGTCCCTTCCTGGGGGTTCCCATGGACCAAACTGCCACTGGGCCTGGGCTGGAGGCTGCACCATGTTCCAGGGCTGGCTGTGGGGGTTTAGGAGCCCATGTGAGCTTATTTTATGTGTTGTTGGTGCTGCACACAGGCTTGAATGGGAAAGGCCCATGTTGTGTTTCATGGGGAGGGGACAGTGGTGAGAGGTGTCCTCAGGATGGCCTGGGGGGCAGTGGCAGGTGCTGGTGGTCACAGTAAGCCTCCAGCCTCAGGTCACGCTAAGGTGCTCGGGTCATGGTAAGGCTCACTTATTCATTCAGCAAACATTGAGCCCTACCTGGACCCCAGGGCAGCAGGTTGGTCCTCTGCCCTGATCTTGGGGCCCCTAAGGTTGTAGACTGGGGTTCTGGGGCTATTTTAGAAGGGGCATTTGAGAAAACAAAAGGATCCCTTTGCTGTTGTTATCCTTTCCCCTAAAGTCCCAAAGATGACAAGAGACACATAATAAACTTTTTAAAAGGTGAGCCTCAAGGGATCTGACTAGAGGTGCCAAAGGTGTGAGTTCTGCCTTCCCTGTCTGGCCCAGGGTGACCCGCAGGCCAGCCTAGGGGGAGTGGCTGACTCTGGGGGCCTATGCATGTTTCCCCCCCAGGAGGGATGCCAGGAGGGGTGCTCTGTGAACCTGTGTGAAGCTGTTGGTCCGATCTCCTGGACCCCCACCCTCCTGATACTTGCCTGCGTCTGTGTGATCAGAGCCCCTCATTCGCCCTGTCATACTCCTGCTGGCACTTAAATCTTAACTCATTATACGGATTGCCCTTCACTCGTCGGAACGTGTGCTCCAGGCAGGCGTGAAATTGGAGGGAATGCCCGTTTTCCTGTAACAGGGAGACAGAGGCCCAGGAAACTGCATATGTCCAGTTGTCTGTGTCCCTGGGCCCAGCTGAGCAGGTAGGAAGGACCAAAACTGCCATCTGGGGAGTTTTTGACCTTCAGCTTTTTCCAGCCTTCTCCAGCTGGCTTGGTGAGCGTGGGGGCCAGGCTGCCTCCCTAGACCAGTAGCGGCAGCTGGTGGGACTCTGGGGCCATGAGAGGAGTGCTGGTCTGGTCCAGCTGCCCCGGGAGCTCTCAGGCTGATTGCGGCTTCCTGCACCACTTCAGGGCCCCAGGATGTCCTGGATGCCAGGACTGTCTTACGTTGGTGACACCAGGGTCACTTAGAGGGACTCAGCCGACAAGGTTGAGCCTGGTGAGGGAGGCAGCTCTAAGGACCCATCCACACATTGGTTTGGACTCTGCCTCTGAGGAGGAAGTGAGAACATGTTTGTTTCTGGAATCTTGACACCCTTGTTGTTTGCAGTAAATATGAGTGTCACTCGGGCAGTTCACAAGAGGAAATACAGCTACTGAATATGTGGCCCAAAGTCCTTAGTTTTACTGGTAAATATACTGGTAGTCAAAGAAGTGGAAATTAAAACTTCGGTCAGAGGGAGGGAACAAGCCCCAGAAGGGGCCACCATCCAGGCACAGCTCCCCGCCCTCAGCCCGGGAAGCCCCACCTGGTCGGGGGGCCTTCCTCTGAGGACTGTCCCGAGGAACTAAACTGACACACAGACAGACTGCCTTCCCCATGCTGGTGGTGTCTAGGGAGCAGAGATGCGGGAACCAGGCCTGGGAGCCGTTCAGCTGCACTCAGCAAGCCCGAGCTGGGTACCAAAGAGACAAGGCCCCAGGGAGCAAGAGATCCCCCAGGGCATGGAGTGAGTGGCCTGCGAGGGGTGTGGGAAAGCACTGTGTGCGACACACAGGGTGATGTGAATGGGGAGAAGGGTGCCACGGAGGTGCCCGTCTTTCCCCCACCCCCAGGTCGCCTGAGGAGTCCTACCTTTGTTTTTGCGTGAGGGAGAAAGCTTTGCGTGTTGCCTGGGTCTTGCTTCTGGCCATGTAAGCGTGACCGGGACTGGACATTGTCCACAGGGCCAGAGCCACCCTTCTCGCGTGGCTGGCCACTGGGTCCCCACCTGAGCACCCGTGCTCTGCCTTCCTTGGGGGCTCCAGGCCTGAGCTGAGTGGGGGCCCCACACCATCTCCCCGGGCCCCCGGCCCCTGTGGGGAGACAGGACTCTGCTCTGAGCACAAGGCAGCAGAACTCGGAGGGGTATGTCTCTCCTTCCCCCATGACCCTCTCCAGGTTGTCTGCTTAGTGAGGCCCGCATCCTGGCTGTGGCCAGAAGCTTCGATGGAGGGCCTTCCGCAATTTGGGCATATTCTGTCTACCCCTGCTGCTGCTACACCCCCCCGCTTTTTTTTTTTTAAGATTTTGTTTATTTATGTGACCGACAGAGATCACAAGCAGGCAGAGAATCAGGCAGAGAGAGAGAGGAAGGGAAGCAGGCCCCCCGCTGAGCAGAGAGCCCGCGGGGCTTGATCCCAGGACCCCGGGACCATGACCCAAGCCGAAGGCAGAGGCACCAACCCACTGAGCCACCCAGGCACCCCGCTGCTACCCCTTTTAAATTTATCTCCATATTCCTTGAGACCTGGGATGTGGTTAGACTGACATCTCTGAAGTGTAGGGTTACTATGGTTACTACGAGGCCCAAGGAAATGCTCCTGGTGTCCCGGGACCTGCCAGGCAGGAGTGCTGTGTGGCCAGCGTCAGAGCAAAGTAGTCTGTGGGCAGCCAGCTTTGTCCTTGGATGCTCCAGCCTCAGCCTGGAGCAAGGCAAGCTGCTGTAGGCCCTGCTCCCTAAAACCGGCAGTCTGGGGCAGAGCCTAAGGGCTCAGCTCTGAGTCCCCTACCTTCAGGGACTCTCGGCCCACCCTGCAGACACCCACCAGGCCTGCCCACTGGGCCCAGCTCCTTCCTTGCTGAGGCGCAGCCCCTTCCAGTCCCTTCCAAGGTGCAGGAGAAGTTCCCAGGCGCCAGATGGATCCCCTACTCAGGAATCAGGCCTGGGGCCCCCATGCTGCCTCCTCCAGGTAGGACACTGGCCAGCGTGGCGTGATGCTCTCCGCACACCCATGCATCTCTGCTCACTCAACTAGGGCCGGCGTTGGTGCCGTCAGAGGGCAGGAACCTCCAGAGCCTCATGTTGCGTTGCCAGTGTCTGGTATGCTGGGCAACGGGTGTCCGCCCACCCAGCACCTGATTCTTGCGGCCAAGCGCACTGAAGAGGCCGGAGCCGGCTCCCCATGAACTTGAGAAGCACGGCTTAGTTGAGTCTCTGTGTTTTGACTTCCCACTCTGGGAGAGCAGCTGGAGACTTAAGATTTCCCTTTCATAGGACTTGGTCTTCCAGATGCTCAGCTTGGCATCACCAGCCACCCGATCTCTCGTGTATCTGAGGCAGCACGAGCTGTGGGAATTGTGCCTTTGAAACAGTTCATCTTTGCCTTTAGGACATACCAGGAGCCCTGCAGGGCTGCCTCTGCCCTCCCAGGGCCCCCCAGGAAGAGCTGACTCCACCACCCCTTGGCTTAGTGAGACCACACTGTCTGAACTAGGGGAGAAAGGGACCTCTGCTGGCACTCGGCGGTGAAAAGGCCCAGGGCTGGAAGCATGTGAAGCCCGGCGGGGAGGCTGCTGCCGCTGTCCCCTGCCCCTGCCAGCTTGTACCCAAGAGTTGCTCACCAGGATTAGCCAAAAATGACTGCACCCAGGGGTGGTTGTGGTGTGTGGTTTGGGCTCTGCCTTTCTGCCCATTTCTATTCTCTGCTCTAGAGGTCTCTAAGTTGGAGATGTCTGCTGGCCAGGTGCCACAGGCACATGAGAAGAGGAGCTAAGGGCTTGTAGCATGGAGCTGCCCAAGGCCAGGCCTCTAGCCCCACTTGCCTCCAGAGGGGGTTTGCGGGGCCTGCCCCGAGACCCTGAGCAGGGCTTAAGTCTGCCTTCTCTCTGCCCGCTCTGGAGGACATTCTACTGCCCAGCTCTGGGGACACAGGGCCACAGCCTATTCACACAGACCCAATTTGAGGGCAGGAGAGACGCATAAATCCATCACAAAGCACCATCCTGAGTATGGGCCTGTGGAAAGAGCCCGCCTGTGGGAGGGTGGGAACCCCCAGGGTCGCAGAGAGAGTGAGAAGGAGCATTCCCTATCCCAGGAAGGGCCATGTGGGGACTCAGGAGGCTGTGGGCTCACTTGGGGCCCACAGGCGTGCTCTGCAGAGACTGAGACGCACACGCACCCCGGCACTGCTGGGAAACGTGCACAGGCTTCTTCTGTGAGAGGCCCGGGTTGTGTAGGTCCCCTGTCTTCCCCTCAGGGCCCAATGCCTTCAGAGGCTGTGAGACCCTGTCGTGCTGTGTCTGCAACTACGGGTACAGTGACCTTCGATCATGCTCTGCTGTGTCTGCAAGGCATCCAGGCCCAAGGTGGGCTGGCTGGCTCCCCAGAGCCTGGCCCCTGCCATGGGGAAGGGTTGAGATCACTGTCCAGCAATGGGGTGCGCATACTCCTGGTTCATCGCTACTTCTAGACTTTTTCTGTGGTCAGAGCCATAGGCACTTCCTGTTAAGAAAATGGAGAATGAATGAATTTCCAACTCAAATGTGACTTCACGGGGTTTTGCCTGTCTTCTCTGAATGGCTTGTAAGCTTTATTGTCAGGATCTAATCGTACAGTGGAAATATAGGTTGGCATAGTCTCCTGAGCGAATCATCTTTGTGCGGGTTATCAACCGCATATCCAATTTGGCCCCTGGGTTTCAGATTGTTTACAAATTATGGGGACTTTTTTTTCTTTTCCATTTTTCTTTTGTGTCGTTTGAATATGTGAACTACATATATAATTAAAAAACCAAAATTGTATCACAGGACTTGTTTAGAGAAGTCTTGTCCTGGTCTGCTTCCTCCACCCCTTTCCCTTCCTTTGTGTTCCTCCTCATCCTGCTTCCTCCTCATGTCAACTCTGTGCAAGTAACGGTGTGGGGCTGCGTACGTGTGTGCTTTGGGCATCTGTGTGCGTGCGTGCATGTGAGGCTGCAGAGGCCGACAGCCCCTCAACGCTGTTGTGCTTGATGGGCATGCCAAGTGAGCATGCTGAGAAGCGTTCTGATTCAACGGAGGAATCTCAGTGGGAACTGCTGAATGTCTTTGAGCCTTGCACTTTATTTCCTTCAGGTCGCATTCCAGAAACCAGAAGCCTGAATTTAGAGAAGGCTGGAGTACACACCAGCCCCACCAGTCAGAAGATCCTGGTCGATGCTCAGGAAACCACCTCCGTCCCCCACATTTATGCCATTGGAGATGTAGCAGAGGTACGGCCTGTACCTGCCACCTGGTGTCACCTCCCCGTCCCCCCACCCCAGCTGGGCCTCAGGGATCTGACGAGGCTCACAAGGGCTGTGGGCCAAACCCCAAGTACTACTGGTAGACTCAAGTGCTGGGAAGGATTGGGCACCAGCCTCTGCTTACTCGAATGTTTCTATGGGGGGTGGGGGGCTGGGGGGAGGCTTAAAAATGAAGAGCACCATCAGCAAATCCCTCTTGTCTGCTCTGAGGGAGGGACATCTGTTTGCACACAACATGGGCCTCGACTTCCTGAAGGTGGGCTGACGGTACAGAGCCCTAGAGATGCTCCTGGTGGGCCGATCCTTGGGGCTGTCTGGCCCTGCAGCCCTGGGCGTGACCTCCTCACCTCAGTTTACCCTCTCATCTGAGGATGGGTCAGTACTGTCCCTGACTGGGCTGTCAGATGGGGACACAACCCCACTCACCAGGCCTGCCTGCTCCTCCCCTTGTGAGTCCCTGGCAGAAGCCCTGCCCCCCAGCCTGGGAGGCATCTGGTCAGCATCCCTCCCCTCTTCATGGCCCTATCATGGCTGATCAGTCATGGGACCCCTGCTCCCCCGACCACCTTCCCAAAGTCCCAGGAGCAGTCGGCCTCTCCTATACATTTGCATCATGGCCTAAGGAAGGTGGCTCAGGTGGGGCTCTGGCCAAAGAAGCCTGAGAGATACACCAGGGCCCCCAGACCCCAGCAGGGCTCTTGCTGGCCAGTTCTGCCAGCATCATCAACGTGTTAGTCCTGGGGCTGCCATTACAAATCACCACAAGCTGGGTGGCTTAGATTGATAGAACTGTATTCTTGCACATTCTGGAGGCTGGAAGTCTGTGTGGGCAGGGCTGGGCTGCCTCCGAAGCCTCTAGGGGAGGACACGTCGTCATCCATCAGGCAGTCCAGACTTGGAGCTACAGCACTCTCTGCCGGTCTGTGTGTGTGTGTGTGTGTGTGTGTGTGTGTGTACACGTGCACGCATGTGTGTCCTTGTTTCTTTCTTCTTAGGACCCTCATTGGATTTAGGGCTCACCCTAAGTGACCGATCCTAAATGGTCTCAATTCTTTCCTTAATTACATCTGCAAAGAGCCTCATTTCCAAACAAGGTCCTATTCTGAGGTTCCAGGCAGACATGAACTTGGGGGATGCCTTAAACCCGCTGTGATGTGTTCTAGCATCAGCCACTTTTCTGGGTTCTTTGACTGTTGCAGGAACAGACAGAAGTCTTAGCTTTATGGTGACACCCTGGTCGGAGTCACAGATTGACAAGTGAGTAAGTGAACTGTTTGAGGGAGATGTCAGAAGATGCTTAGTATGGCGGTCAAGGGAGACCTGAGGGAGGAGTAGAGCGAGCTAGAGGCCCAAGCCAGCCCAGTAAGGATTCTCGTGCCTGCCCCAGGGTGTAAGCACTGCCCTGCCCCCACTCACCCCAGAGCCCACTTTGGGAAATGCCTGGGGATGGGGGAGCCAATATCTGTGGCAGGTGGGTCCCTGGGTGGAGCATCCCAGAGCTGAAGGAGTACAGGTGGCAGTTGTCCCCATCCTTCCCTCAGCCTCTGCTGCAGCTTATGATGGCTGGGTCTTCCAGAGAGCCTGACACACTCATGGAGACAGACCAGGGCAGGAGCACATGCAAGGCTGGGCTTTCCCTTTGTTCCTGAGGGGCCAGCCTACCCATCTGGCACAGGCCTGTCTTGCAGACACTTGACTCCATACAGACCCCTCCTGCAAGGACAACATGGTCCCTGCTGTGCCCATTGTACAGACGGATCACTCCCTAGCTGTGCTCCGTGCTGGCATGTGAACCACAGGGCTGCCCCTTGAGTCCCTCAGGCTGCCCGTGGACCCAGGCTCATGAAATGGTACATGAGGGGGAGCAGACTACCAAATGGAGACAGGACCCCAGGGACAGCTTGCTGGAGTGTGTGCTCAGAGCTCCAGCCCATCCTCCCACCAAGTCCTATTTGACCATCCAATTGACCTGTTGGTGTGGACAGAAGTGAGTGGCTTCACGTGCCCACTGGACCGGGCAGTGCTGTTGCTCACGTGCTCTCCGATGGTGGGGACGTGGCATTCTCTGGTGGCCCCTCTGTGTTCATCCTGCGTGCTGCACCCCAAGATAGCACCCATGGTCCTGGGAGAGAGTGCCGTGCAGATTATACCAGGCTTTCTGCGCACCCCAGGAGCTGAGCGCGAACATAGAGGAAACCATAGTATTTCAGACTGTTTTGCCAGAAATAGTACACACAAAGGTGGCATCTATTGAAATATTAAATCCACTGAGTTGGAAAGGTCCTTCGGGGGCAGTCCAAAGAGTTAACACTAAACCAGTGGTCTAGTGTGCAGTGGGGAAGAATCCTGTAGGCGGGCGGGGCGGCCATTGTCTGGTGACATATTGTGCTGCGCGCATGGACGTTTCCGCACTTAGTCAGGCCCGGTGGAATGCACGGGCTGCTTTCACGAGTTTATCTCTGCGGATCTCTATTCATTTCTGGAATGTCAAACAACATCTGCATTTCCTGCTGCTGCAGAGGTGATTGGCAGCCGGTCTCAGGCCGACGCGTGTAGGAACATGGGGGGCTGTGCACCCCCACCACCACCCCCACCCCGGCTCCTGGAGCGGGACACACCCTGGGACGGAGGGGCCTCCAGCAGCAAGGCATTCGGATTTGGGATTTGTAATGGACTGTGACGTGCAAGCCAAGCTGCATGTCAGGCACACACGAAATCCTTCCAGGGCCCATTTTAGCCTGAATCCCGGTTACTGCAGACGATTAAGTAGGAGCGGGTACTCCTTCGAGCTCTGTCCTGAGGGCAGCTCTCCAAGGTCACCAACATGAAGAAGGGGTTCAGAGGGAAGCCACAAGTCAGGGTGGGTGGTGTGGCGGGGCTCACTGGCAGCTCACCTGCTCTTCCAGGGATGGGGGCCATAACTGCAGGTGGCCCCCCAGAGCAGGACAGGGGGAAGGAAGCAAGCAGGACAAGTTGCGCCCAGAGACAAACAGGCTTTGGAGGTTTTGGAGGGGGAGAAGCTTCACTAGGAAGGCATGGGTGGCGGCAGGGGTCCTGTGGAGTTTCCCCCAGACGTGCCGAAGTAACCCTGGGCTCCTCCCATGCATCAGGGGCGGCCTGAGCTGACACCCACGGCCATAATGGCAGGAAAGCTCCTGGCCCAGAGGCTGTGTGGTCAGTCCTCAGACGTGATGGATTACGACAACGTGAGTACCCTCCGCCCTTCAGTGAGCTGCATCCCGCCTGGAGACAAGGTAGCTCTTGGGGCGGGGCGGGTGGGGGGACGTGCATGTGCCTGTGTGCATGCTCACAGGCATGTGGACCTCTGTGTGTGCACACACACACTCATGCGTAAGGTTTAGCTTTGTGGGAGTGGCCTCGCAACAAGCAAGGGTAGCCCCCCCCCCACCCCCTCTGGCAGGCTGCTAACTTGCACGTCCGGGGCCCTGGCCTGAGTGGGGATCTTCAGTGTTGGGTCCCCAGGCGTGTACCTCACTTGGGACTGGCTTTCCAGGTTCCCACCACCGTCTTCACCCCGCTGGAGTACGGCTGTGTGGGGCTGTCGGAGGAGGAGGCTGTGGCTCGCCACGGGGAGGAGCACGTGGAGGTATGTTGGGGCTCCAAGGACAGAGGGCTGCCGGGACACAATGCCTGTGTGGCGCTTACACCCTGACGACAGCCCCTCCCCAAGCCAGTCCTGGCAGGCAAGTGGGAGCATTGGTGTCCCTGCTTCCTGGGGCCTGCAGTTTGTCAAAGTGGGGCGGAGGGCCCAGAGTGCTGGCCAAGATATAGCATGGAGGGACACTTGGGACGGGAGTGCTGGAGGACAGCCCCAGAAACCAGGGCAGCATTGGGGTGTGGCCCCTCACGGGGCACGTGTCTCCCTCCACCTGGAAAGGCTCCAACTCTCCCAACCTTCTCTTGCCATCGGCTTCTGCTCCCAGTGTCCTGCCGCCCCCGCCCTGCCACAGCCCAGCTGTGCCTTAGGTACCCCCACCTCCCGGCCACCCCGGTCTCTGTTCCTGATCTGCGATTCGTCCAGCTCTCACAGGCCCCCAAAAACCCGGATTTAAGTACTCCCCCCAAAGATAGACTGCCTCTTGAGTGTGCTCAGCCAGCTTGCCATGGCCCTGGGGTGGCCCCTGAGGGTACCCTAAATGGCCTGGCAGGAGCGGGGAAGCCGGAAGCCTCCAGCATGGCTTCATCTTGCTACTGCAGCAGCTTGCAACGGACTGGGAGAAACTAGCCCCCATGTGGCCACCACCACGGGCCTCGTACCCTCTGGGAATGAGTCACTGGGTTCCAGGGCCTGCCCCTTGCCCCAGCGCCCCGGGTCCCCTCCATCAACGGGCCAGGCCTGACAGGCCAACCTTCCCCCCCAGCACTTTATTTGCTATTTTTGTTTGATTCATCACAAGTACATGGGGACATATGTTCGTGGCATTCTATAATGTTGTTTTAATGTTTCACAATGTTGAATGGCCAAATACGCTTTGTTTGTTTTCTTTTCAATTCTGTCTTAGTTAGAACAATATTCTCTGAAGTTCCATTAATTAATAATGGCTGTGCAGCACATGTGAGGGCCCTGCTCATTTTTTACTCAGCTGCAGCCCCGAACACGCTGTCGAGCCCTTCTTGGGTGCTGAAAGCCTCTGGCCGACAGCTCCGGTGTGGGCCAGGGGCCTCCCCAGGCCTGCCTCCCCCTCCTTGCTCAAGTGAAGGCCCAGCCAGCACCAGGGTACCCTTGGGAGGCCACAGAGCCACTGGGTGGGCCGGGCACCCCCTTCCACTGCCCACCGTCACCCCATCTGCTCCACAGCATCCACTTGGTGTGACGCTCTGAGACTCGGGCTCTGTGACAAGACATGGTGGGCTCCACTTAGCCAGTCTGGGGCCCACTCTGCTACTGTGGTCCGTGGCGGCCTTGGGCCTGGGTGGGAAAGGTTCTGTCTTACAGAGAGTGTGGCCCTGGCCAAAGGTTGGTTTTGTGTGGGAGCGAGAAGGGTGGTAATCACAGCCAACCCCACCATGTCCTTACCCCACACCACAACCTGGAGGCCGCGTGGGCAGTTCTGGGTCCCCACCCCATCCCTGCAGCCCAGGAAGCTACTGACTCCAGGAATTGGTATTTTGTCCCTTAGGTTTTTTTTTTTTTTTTTAAACATTTTTTTTAAATTTTTTCTTCTCAAACAAGTTTTTCTTTTTTTTAAGATTTTATTTATTTATTTGACAGAAATCACAAGTAGGCAGAGAGGCAGGCAGAGAGAGGGGGGAGGCAGACTCCCTGCTGAGCAGAGAGCCCGATGCGGGGCTTGATCCCAGTACCCTGGGATCATGACCTGAGCTGAAGGCAGAGGCTTTAACCCACTGAGCCACCCAGGGGCCCCTCTTGTCCCTTAGGTTTATCACGCATATTATAAACCCTTGGAGTTCACAGTGGCTGAGCGGGATGCGTCCCAGTGTTACATAAAGGTGAGTGTCCTCGTGGGCCATGCCAGGAGGTGAGAGGCAAGGAAAGAGCTGGCACCTGGGGGTGGGGAAACTCCCTGCAGCTGCCCATCTCGCCCCCCCCCCCGCCCCCGCCCCCGCCCCGGCAGGCCCACCTGTGTAGCCCTAGGGCTCTATCGCTAGCCAGGCGGACCATTGACCATGTGGCTTTCAGATGGTGTGCTTGCAGAAGCCCCCACAGCTGGTACTGGGCCTGCACTTCCTTGGCCCCAACGCAGGCGAAGTTACTCAAGGATTTGCTCTGGGGATCAAGTAAGTGGGGAGGGATATTAGCGTTGGGCACTGTTTCGGCGCCTGTGGCTCTGAAAGTTGGTGGCGCTGCAGTGGGAAGTCTGCGGCTGTGATGTTGCTCTTGGGTACCATCATCCGCGTGCTTGGCAGACCATCTCCTCAGAAACGGCAGCTCCTGTCACAAGAGAGGCAGCTTTCTTCTCCAGCCAGCTCTTAAGCCAGCCATACTGTGTCAGTCTGTGGCCAGGCCACCTGGGGAGCCAGGGTAGAGGCCCGAGTCCCTGGCCAGCGAGGGTGGGTCCCAGTTTGGGTCTTCTCTACTTAGAATGAACAGGGCTGGGGCCCTCCTTCACGTGGCCCAGCACGCAGGCAGTCACGAGCAAGGTCTGCCCGCTGCCCCAGGGCCGGCATGTGCTGTGCTTTGTGGGGTCCCGGGTCTCCAGGCTTGCCTGGCACTTTTGCTGCTGGAGGCTCTGGGTGGGGGTGGGTTGTCTGGGGCAGAGGGGTGTGGGGCTGTCAGAGGCAGGAGGGTGGAAGGCAAAGTGGAGCTGAGGGAACAGAGAAGGGCTGCATGGGCCACCCCACCATGTACTTGGGGCTTGGGGCCATGGCTAAGATCTAGCCTCAGAGGCTGGTGGAGGTCTTAGGACAGGGTGGGAGGTCGAGGGGCAGGCCCCCTACCAGGAAGACTGATGGGGGCTCTGAGGGACTAGTCCAGACACCCCAGGGGCACCCCTGGCTTCCTGGCAGGTAACAGTAATAATTTTAGGACAGAGCCAATAGAGAATGTGAACAGGCCATTCACAGGTAAAGAAAGTTAAAATAAATAGTAGAAAGATGCTGTGCATTGTTTGGAATTAACACCAAGAAACCATTTTGGTCAATGAGCGTAGAAAGGTTTGATAATGTCCAGTCTGGTGGTGATCATTTCTAGCACCTGCACTGTGGAGACACTGAAGGTTTGAGCAAATCAGGGGAGTGAGGGGACCCATGTTCAGAGATAGTCAGGAGGAGGGTGTGAACCAGGCGCCCCCTCTGGGGGCCTTCTGCCCACAGTTTGAAACACACACGCTTGTTCGAGTTGGAACTCACGCACCAGCTATTGTAACGTGTGTATAGATGGGAGGAGGGCTGTTTGTGGCGGCCCCTTCTGCTGATGGTGGCAGCGCCCTGCGGGGAGTCCTCACTTACTATGCCTCCGAGGAGGGGCCCGGTGCCCCGTGGGTGGTCACCGCTGCAGGGGGAGGGGACGTGTGTGTGACAAGAGCTGAGTGCTGAGCAGAAGAGCACCGTGAGCAGGACCAGGCCAGGTCGGCGCAGGGCTCATCAAAGTGGGCTCAACCTAGCTCGCTGGGGCAGGTGGGGAGGGAGAGCAGGTCCACAGAAGGAGTAGCTGGAGCCACGGACCGAGGTAGGTCTGCTCCTGGTGGGCTGGGAGCAGCAGGAAGCCAGGATGGAGCAGGCAAGGGGGCCGGGGGGAGGTGGGAGGTGGGCCTGAGGTGGGGCTGCTTGGCATTTGCTGGGAGACACGTGGGAGACAGGTCCAGCAGAGGTGTGCGTGGGTGTTCCTGGCTGCTGGCTGGAGAAGAGGGTAGTGGCCAGGCCTGGGGAGCAACGAGGAGACCGGGACTTCCAGGGCCCTCCCCCTGTGCCATCTTCTGAGGGACGGGATGATGTGGACGTGCCCCCCTATGTGGACTCATCTCCTGAACCCCTCCCTTGCCCCCCTTTGTGCAGGTGTGGGGCCTCCTATGCGCAGGTGATGCGGACAGTGGGCATCCACCCCACCTGTGCTGAGGAGGTGGCCAAGCTGCGTATCTCGAAGCGCTCGGGCCTGGACCCCACCGTGACGGGCTGCTGAGGGTAAGCAGCCATCCCTGCCCAGCCAAGGGCACGTGGCATGCCTGCAGCCCCCCACAGCCAGGTTCTTCGGAGGCTCAGATCCAGGTACACAGCTGGGGCAGCCTCTGGGTTTAAGGCTGGAAGCATGGGGTGGGGGGCAGGGGGGTGGGGGAGTGTCGCTGTAAACAGCTCTCTCCAGATACATGGGAGGTCACAGCCACCGTGCTACCTTAGACATGGGAGCCCTGTGCCCCAACTACAGGAGCTGAAGAAACAGGGCTGGGAAGGAGGCCCTGTGAGGGCACCCCTCCCCCGCAACAGGACACCTTCCTTCCCCAGACACTGGCCTGGCTGCCACTGGTCCCCAAATGCAGGAAATGTCTTGAGGCTGGGCTTACACCCTAGTGGCCTGTCTCGGCTCTGGGGGGAGGCTGGGGGACACTGGGCTGGCTGAGCTCAGTGGGCTGCTGGGTAGGAGAAGCAGGCCTCCCTTTCCAGCTTCACTCCATGCAGAGCAGCACCGGCTAGTTTTTCTGTCTCCCAGAAGGTGGAGATGCTGCCTTATGTGTGGCAGTGGCCCACACATCTGGTTCTGTTAGAGCTTTGCAAAGTTTGGCCCAGCCGGGCAGCAGGCGAAAGCCTCGGGGTCTGTTCACCGCGGCCCTCTTCTGAGGAGGAAGAAATTAGTGAGTTCCTCCCTGACCCCTGCCGAAAGGTTGCATGTGGTCAGGGCCTATTCAGCTGGTCCTGCGAGAACATTCTGCAAGCTCTAGCAGCCCCGCCTGAGGTGTCCCCTGTAGCTGTCGGCCCCTCCCGGGTTTGGGGTACTGAGGGCTGAAGTAGAGTATAGACAGAGGAGGGAGCACCCCACGAGACACCCTCAACCAGGCCTGAGGGCCTGAATGGCAGCTGAAGGTCCCATGGATTTGGGCACAGGCCTGGGGCTTCCCTTGGGGGCATCCTGGGCACCCGCTGTCCTACAGCCTCCACAGCCAGGGCTACCCTTGATACCGACAAATGAAGGGCATCTTGAGGAAACTTCTCATCAGAATATCGTACCTAACAGCTGTTTTGTAAAGAGCCAGCTGTATGTTTTTATCATTTCAAAATAGTTTTTAATAGTGTAGTGTTCCCTGCGATGCATCAGTCTGGTGAGGGCGGGGGCTCTCTCTGGGGCCCATGTCTCACCTCTCCGCAGAGAATCCTTCTGTGTGTGAGCACGGGAGACATGGCCAGGCCAATGCAGGGATGGCGTGACTGTCCCATGCTGAGCACTGCCCCCCAACTCTTGTAGGACACCAGAGGCTGAGCCCAGGCAAGCCTCACCCCTGGAGAGCCCCGGAGGTCGTCGGCGTGGGTGGCCTCTGGACGGACTGCCCGCATGCCCCGCAGGGATGGCTCCAGGGCTCGTCAGCCCTGCACCTCGCGCACCCTCCTGCCCGGGCCAGCTTCACCAGCCCCTAATGCCAGAAGATGACGGTGTGTGCAGAAACCCACCCTGTGGGCTGCCCACATCCGAGCTCTCCACCTGGTATTTCTGGAGTATAAATAAAGAGGGTGTTTTCCTGAAGTGTGCCCCTACCTATGCTGTCCCTAACTCACCCCCAGGACGGCCCAGGTCGGGTGGGGCCTGGCCGCCCCAGGCCTGTCACACACAAACCTATTCTCCCCTCACAATTGTCAGTCGGGGCACCACTCTTGAGCTGTCGGCATGCCCCACGACCCCTGCAGCCACACCTCAGAAGACCCTGACCCTTTCTCCCAGGTACAGGGAACAGAGCCAGCACCCACCCCCACCACCCCACCCCCCAGCCCTCTGCAGGGTCTACCTGCGCCTCACAGCAAGGCAGACACTCAGCAGGGGTGGGGAAGCCGCTGGCTTTGTTCCAGAGCTACCTGCCAGTGTTGTGGCCCAGTGACAGGAGCTGGCAGGGCTGTTGGAGGCTTTCTGTCCTTCGAACATCAGGCACCTCATTACATTTCCACCATGGCCCTCCCAGCCAGCGTGTCTGCTGCGCTCGGGCTAATCCTGCCCATTGGGGCTTGACGGGCCCCAGGAGCGCCCTTCGGCACCGGGCCGCACCTGTCAGTCACTGCAGAGAGACAGCGATGACAGTGAGGGGCAGGGCCCTGCATTGTGCTGGGGCTTTAGCGGTGGTTAATCTCGTGTCTTCCTTAAGAAAACATCACTTAGTCTGCCCGCCCAGGAGCCCTGGATGGGACCCTGCTTGTCAGCCAACAAAGGAATGTCTTTGCACCTGATGGGCCTACGGGAGCATCAGACGCTCGCTCGCCTGGTGCGAAGCGTGTGCAGGAGCTCTCAGACGCCCAGTGAAGACGCCAAGTGCAGGGCTGGGCCAGCGCCCTCCTGACAAGTGCAGCGTGAGACCAGCCGTGTCCCATTTAATGCACGGTTGGCGGCCACGCCCCTGCCTTGGAAGGTGTAGCTCGGGCTCCCCTCTGTGCCGGGAGGAGGTGTTCCCTTGCCTAGCAGGCACTGGGAGAGGTCCGCAGAGGTCAGCTAAAGCAGCTGAGCTGCTGGGGGCTGCAGGACAGGAGGGGCCCCCTGGAGCAGGGCCGCGCCCCTGCCATGGGACAAACATGGAGCTTGAAATGGCTCTGCTGCTTTTCGGGATGGGAGAAACGATGCAGCCCGTGGGGGAGATCTCAGCATACACCAGACAATCTCTGGGGCTAGGACTTGCCACCCCCCTGCCCACCCCACCAGTCAGCCAGAGAGCCAGCCAGCCCTATGTCTGTGGTGCCATAAACCCCATCCCCCCAGCACCACCAGTGGTTTTCTCCATGCACCCTCTCCCTCAGGACGGGCCCTGCTCTGGCATACCTGCTGAGTCCATAACAACCACTCTCACACTGTGTCTGGCCAGGTCACCCA